TGATGGTTTGGTCTTTAACGCGAGTGCCCTTGGTCCTATCTATCCAAAATCTTCGGTAAATTATAATAAATGCATAAAATTATTAGGAGTAGATCCTTTCATGTTAATAAAAAATGATATGATTATATAAAAAAATATAATTATTTAAAGATGAATTAACAGCGAAAAAAAAAGAGAAAAAATATTAAATAAATAATTATAAAATTATTATTATTAATTTACTTTATATGATTATAATTTTTCCCATGACTATATCATATACTTTTAAAGTAAGAGAATCTATTTTCATGTGAGTATTATATTGATCCCTTGTAATTTAAAATAAATTGCAAGCGGCGGCGCTGTTTTTAAATTACTTAATTATGTTTAAACACCAACTTACTCGGGTTACTAACACCAACTTCCTAATCCGGCTTTATGTATGTTATATTACTATTTAAAAGAAAATAATGAAATTTAAAAGCTATAATGCTATATATTATCTTGATATACTTGCATCTTAAACAAAAACAAAAAGTATAGATTAGATCCTGCTGCATGATTAACATCTATCAACAATTTTTCTTAAAAAAATATATTCACGAAAAATATAATTTTATTGCACCATGTCTTATGTTAGCAATATTTCAAAATAGTGCAACTGCAAACCAAAAAATAAAATAAAAATATAGTGCAACTCAACTTGTCAAGACTATTTTCTAAGACAACTATCCCAATTTTGGAGTCTTCGATCCGAGGCTGCCGTGCTGTTTTTAATGATTTCAAAATTTCACGGTGGATCCTATAATCAATAGTTGATCCATTTTCCTATAATCAACATAAACGACAAAACTCTTTGTAACGATGATCCTATAATCAATAGTATTTAGATTATCCTTGACTGCATTTTTTTATATCTAATTTTTAAATATAAAAAAATAAAACTCCATGATTTTATAATCAAGTAACGCTCAATATTTTACGGCAAGAAATTTAATCCGAAGTTCAAATATCAATGAGTCTCATTAGTCAATAGCCATTACTTCCTCACTCATATATTGTTTTTTTGAACATTATAATAATAATAATTATTATTATTATTATTAAATTTTATGAATTTCTGACCTCCCTTAGCATAACAAGGAATTAATTACAATGCAAAATCATTTTCATGTCTTAATTACTCCATTCATATCATTTTCCTTCAAATTATCAAAAAATACATGAATAATTTAATTTTCCCCAGAGTTTTATAATTATGTAAAAATATTATTAAATTATAGTGTAAGATTTTTAATCCTTACAAATTGTTTAAAACCAAACTAAAAAAGTATTTACAAGATAGACACATGACTTTCCACGTTGATGAAAAATATAATTTAAACTCAGTATATATGTTTTTAAATAATACATGATCAATTTTATATTTGATCCATTGCAAGTAAATTTTTTTATATTATAACATTTAAAAAAGACTTGAATGTTTCTAAAGTGAATGTAGATAAGTTATCTACATTCGCTGTTAAAATGACGTCGTTTTGAGTTGAAAAATTAAAAAATTATAACAAAAAAGACTATTATAACCTTAAAATAAATTATAATTACAAAAATACCTTAATTTTTGCTTCAAAATAACGTCGTTTTGAGCTCAATGTAGATAAATTATCTACATTGACGATAGAAAAAGCGAACCCTTTAAAAAAAATTATATTGACTATTCATCAAATATATATTAAAATTAAACTCAAAATTATTCGTGTTAATATTTAGCCGTAGAAATAAATAAATAAAATATAAAATGTGACTCAGCTTGCAGTTTGAATTTCTTATGAACGAATTCTATCTATAACATTTCATCATTGAAAACTATAGTCAAAAGACTCAAAGCCATTTCATCATTTATTTAATTAAGTGATAATTCCCCGAACCAAAAAAGAAGAAGTGATAATTAGTTTCATACTCAGATAATACGAGAACATCTGGTGAGCGGGTAAAAAAGAAGGTAATTAAATATTTTATAAAGGGAAAAATGTTTGTGTTTTTAAATGACACAACTTATATTCTCTTACTCTCACAAAGAGGTGAGACCACATCTTTATATTTTTTTGTCCACTCTCTCTCCTCATTTATCTATCTCTTTCTCTCACTTAAAATGACACACATTTATATCCTTTAAAATGATACACATTTTTCCCTTTTATAAAAGTTAAAATATTATTTCTTATAACAATTATTCTTTATACATTTTTCTTTTTCTGTAATAAAAATAGAAAAATATTTTTCTCATGTTACATGAGAAAACTTATCCCATATTATACACCCATAAAAATTCGAACCAACATTTCTTTTCTTTTCTTTTTTTAATTGTGAGATTCACCTAATTATGTCTCTACAAGATAATATTATCTTGTAATATGAAAAAAGTATTACCCATAAAAATATAATATATATTTTCGTTTTTCTTTAAGTTTTCCACCGTACTAAAGATGTAATAAGATTTTTTCCCAAGGAATTTTTGAATAGTTCCCCACATGTTTGAATTATTGCTTTGGGTGAATCGGAAAGCAAAGGTGGTTCATTTTATGCCCCGGTCCCGCTGTCTCACAGGTCTACATGTCATTCGGTCTTCCAGATCCATGCCTTTTGTTTTTTTAATTGAACAAACACCTTTGGATGTGGATCCATCAATGAAAATTATTTTGATGATGAGTACAAAAAGAGTGGCCATATTTTAATATTGTTGCGGAAAAGTCACATGAAAATCGACCATACCTGATGGATCAAAATGGTTGCTTTATTATGGAAAGCTGTTTTATCTGGATCAGGAAGGCACTATAGTAACTCTCATCATTTAGACTTACAAAAGCATTAGCTCTATTATTGGAATATATTTTCATTGTTCTTGCATTACTACATCATTTATTAAAAATATAAAAAAGTTAGTTATTTTTATTTTATCCACTCCTTTGCTATTAATGTCAAATGAGTAATACTAATTTCTAATTGATAATAGAAGATTTACTCTGAAATTCATGCATATACAGCAGTAGGACCTGTTTGAATTATATTTTCAAAAAATAAAAAATAAAAAGACCTGTTTGATAATGTCTATTTTGTAAAAATAGTCTTAAAAATTTATAACTGTTTCTATTTCTAGAATCAAATTTAAAGAACATATGTAAATTATTTTTGTTTTGTGTTTTGACTTTTAACTTTCAAAACAAAAAAACACAAGAAATATATATTTCATTAACTATTCTACAAAATAGTTTTAAGAAAGAAAAAAAATAGAACAAAAATCCAACAGACCCGAAATTTATAGCTATATCTCTTGGGATGTACTTGTATGCTTCTAATCCCAGAATTTTAAATATAGAATCGATTAAGAAAACTGATTTCAGATAAGGTATCATCAAATAAAAAAAAGGGATATTAAAATAAGAAAATAAGTTATAAAATATAAGAAATTAAGAAATTAAGAAAATTATAAAGTATAAATTTAAATTGAAAAATGAGACCACATTAATGATTTATATTCGTATATTCAACGGACCCCTCAAAGAACCTTGGCCGATAAGTGAGATAATATTAATAATTTTAAGAAAAATTAATTTCTAATTAAGAAATTCAATAATGCATTTTAAATTATTTTAAAATATATTTTTGATATCACAACATTTTCTTTAAAGTAATTAAATTTTATAATTAAATTATTCCATAATAATATCCTAATTTACAACTTAATCTCCTACTATTTTACAATAAAAACAGGATACTTTGAGTGTTGATATATGAAAGTAAAATAAGGTGCATTATTTGATATTAAATAATTATTATCTCTAAAATATTTTCTCCCTGACTAAAAAAATGCATTACTTGAACTTATTCGACCATCATGAATCACTTTTAATGGTTGGTTTAGATCCTTTATTTTTAAAATACTAATTTTATGATACAGTTGTTTAAATTTTTTTTCTAAATATTATGAAAAATTATTAAAATTATTTGTTAGTTGTTTTTTATGAAATTTTTTATGAGATTAATGTGTGTCATTTTAAAGAATATAAACTTATATTCTTTCACCTTTTATAAGTATGTATTCAAGGGAGTATATAATTATAATATGAAAGTTAATTTTTTTTTCTCTTCACGTTTTTTAAAGAGAGAATTTTTTTTTAATTATATTAGAACTATGTATTTCTTGAAATACATAATCATAAGGGTAAAAATACATAATCTTATATTATTTAAAAAGACAAATAGTTTTCGTTTATTTATTAATTAAAAAATTTTAAAACACTTTTTTAATGAAAAATACAAATATTTTTCTTTCCTTAAATAGACACGAAACAAACCGCCCTCACCCATAGTCAACTTTCTTTTGATGATTGTTATCTTATCTATGTGGAATCCCCACCCAAGAAACAAGAGAGGGAAAAAATTGCAATATAACGATAAGAACTTAAGAAGCAAGATTTTTGACACGACAGATTGAGCCACCAGTGTCGAGTTGTCGTTTTTCTTTTAAAAAAAAGGTGACTAGATGAATCTCAATTATTTTGGTCTTTTATAATTGGAAAATATTTTTCTTAATAAAGATAGATTATCTCGTCTTAGTGACACAAAATTATAATAGAGACTCACAAATAATTGAGAAAAGAAAAAAAATAGAGGTGGAATCTACTTTTATTATGTGTGTGTAAAAATTTAATTTGTATCATATATTGAATATTAAATGAGATAAATATAACCTATTATAAACAGTGTTGTTAAAGGAGTAAAGGTGACTTTGAGTTTGAGTATCACACGCGGAGAGAGAGCGCGCGCTCTATTCTTTACTCAGCCACACCCTGTAATTTTTTTATGTTCAGTTCCCATCATCCTTCATCTTCATCTCGTTTTTTTCAACCCAACAACTTGTTTTTTGTTTTTGTTATCTTTTGTGTTTGTTTTATATATTCCTTCACGCCAAAGTGAAGTTCTTCATAGGTCGCTCATTTATTTTCGGTGCACATCTTCTTTGTTCACCCGAATTACGTTGCTTCATAAAATATCAATCCCACATTTTTCTTTGGTTCTTGTTTTCCTTGTCTGAGTTTTCTTGCATGCAAAACAGAGCACGCATTGGCTCTGTTCATTGTTGAAGAGATTTTATCATTGGAAGGTGAAAGATTGGACGGCACAGAGTTTTTCTATTACAGTAGAAAGAGATTATCAAAAAGAGGGAGGAGTTTTGGGGGGAAAAATGATGTCTGAGTTTGGACTGAGAATGGGATCCATAATGGTGTTGTTGTTTGGTTTTGCATCGGCTTTTGTGATTGTTTCGGCGGAAAAAAGGGTTATGGGAATGGAAATGGCAAGATTTAATGTTACCCAAGAGCCTGAACACAGTTTCCTCAACAGAGCTGTGAATTTCTTATGGCAATCGGGGGAATCGGGTTATCAACACGTATGGCCGGTAAGATCTTCATTTCATACTGGATTTTGTGGCTATCTTTGTTTATCTTAAACCCAAAGCCAAAGAAAAATTTTGGGTTGTCTTTGTTTCTCTTTTTTACTTTTTATGTTTGTTTGTGAGTGGTGATTGAAGACTTCGGATTTGGTTTGGGGGAGGGGATAATTTCATTGACTTTTTTGGATTCTATGGATGGGTATTTTCCCTCCCCTTTATTGAGACATGTTTTCGGGAAATAAAGGGAGAATTAGAATATTTAAATGGTGTAGCTTTGGCTAAAAAAGTGCTTCTGTTGAATTTGTCAGTGCTTTTAATGTGGAGCTTCTTATTGTTATCTTGCATGTGTTATTATTATTGTCACTGGAAATTATGTCAGGGAAAAGTTATACTCGATGTTACTTACGCAGGATATGGAATTTGGGTGGCAAATTGTTCTGGGTAGTTTTATTGGTTTTTGTGGAGCGGCATTTGGAAGTGTAGGTGGTGTTGGTGGCGGTGGCATATTCGTTCCTATGCTTAGCCTCATCATTGGGTTTGATCCAAAATCATCCACAGCTATCTCAAAATGTAAGAGAAGACACGTATTAAATGTGATTACTGATTACCACAGCTCACAATAATTTTTTCTTCATAGGCTTCTGTTATTTTCAACTAATTCTTTTGAATCACCTAATTGCCGAAAGAGAATAAAAACTTAATATGATATATCCTTGCCCACTACCTTTAGTTATTAGGCATTCTGTTTGTGACAGGTATGATCATGGGCGCAGCTGCGTCAACTGTTTACTACAACCTTAAGCTAAGGCATCCTACGTTGAATATGCCCATCATTGACTACGATTTGGCACTTCTCATTCAACCAATGCTTATGCTTGGTATCAGCATTGGAGTGGCCTTCAACGTTGTATTTCCTGATTGGATGGTGACTATATTGCTTATTGTTCTCTTTTTCGGTAAGGATTATTTTAACTGTGACTTCAGTTAGGCCTTCTTTTTCTTACATGTCTGACTGATTTTAATGGTCTGCAGGCACATCAACGAAAGCATTCTTTAAGGGGGTTGAAACATGGAAAAAGGAAACCATAATGAAAAAGGTTTAATTTAATTTATCATATATACTATTTTACTGCATATTTAGAACTAGGAAAAACTATTTGTGGTTTCGTTAGTTGTGTCATTTTAAATTTTTTATTATATGTACTTCTAGTAGTACATAGTTATAACATGAAAAATTATTTTTTTTCTCTCTTCTCAATCACATCAGCTGACGTGGAAAGTGAAAAAAATTAACTTCTCATGTTATAACTATGTATTACGAGATTACATAGAGTAAAATACTAAAAGAACACAATTTATATTCTTTAAAAGGATATACAGTAAACCCTAACATTTTTACTATAGCAAACAAGGGAATATATTAAATTTAACTAGAAGAAAATAATATTTTGTTAATAACTTTGTCTCTTTGAATTTATTGACCATCAAAACTCATTTATGAAGGTTCTCTGATGAATTGTATAATGATGAGTGTTTTGCCGTTTAATCTGGGGACACCTATTTAATGGAAAACACTATATTTATTGCTAACTGTCTGAACCTGTCTTGTTTCATATTAGGAGGCGGCTGCTAGGCGACAAGAGTCAACTGGTGAGCTCAGAAACCATTCTTTAACATTTACCAAAACATAATAGATTTGTCCTGGATCATTTTTGTTCTGATGTCAGAGTGTATGCAACTTTCCTTTTGGTAGGTTCTGGGGCTGAAATAGAATACAAACCTCTTCCCAGTGGACCAAATGGTGGCACAGAAAAGGCCACCAAGGAACATGAGGTCATTACTCTCTTGCGAGTTCTTATGAATGGGGTGATTTTTCATATCTAAATATCTAATAATATGGATTTTGCAGGTGACTATTCTTGAAAATGTATACTGGAAGGAGTTTGGACTTCTTGCATTTGTTTGGATTTCATTCCTTGCTGTACAGATTGCCAAGGTTTGCTCTTTCATATCTACTACAAAAGAACAGTTTATACATGCAAATTATCTAACTTTAGACCAATAATCTCCCTTGACAGGAATACTATACAACTACTTGTTCCACAGCATATTGGGTACTGAACTTGTTACAGGTAATTCTGTTCAGGAGTTGCCTCCAGAGCATTACCTTTTTACAAGTCTTTTTGCTTTTCTTGATTACAGATGATATTCTATTAGTACTTAACTTTTCTGAAAATGTATACGAATGTCTGTAACAACAATACTGGAAACTGTTTGAAGGATGCTTATGCTTTCCATGTTATGCAGATTCCAGTCGCAGTTGGAGTAACTTCGTATGAGGCAGCTGCCTTGTTCAGTGGACGTAGAGTAATTGCTTCCACGGGAAATCAAGGGAAAGATTTCACTGTTCTCCAGCTAGTTATCTATTGTATCTTTGGCTTACTGGCTGGAGTAGTTGGGGGCTTGCTGGGACTAGGAGGAGGTTTTGTTATGGGTCCACTTTTTCTAGAACTGGGAGTCCCACCTCAGGTGAGTTTCAAATTGCAGTTTTAGAAATTTTGTTAGGCCATGCTTGTGATAAGTATTCAGGAAATTTGCTCTCCACAGAAACTAGAATCATAGAATCATAAAATATACTTATCATTTTACATGGGAAGAAGGTGGAAGAAAAAATAAAAGAAAGAAAGAAAGAAAGAAAGAGAGGGCGTTATTGCTATTTTAGATATCCCTTGAAAATATATATATATGAGGTAGGATATTCTTACACTGGTGTAAGAGTTAGAAGTCTTACACTCAATCTTAATCATTGATCCACTTGTATCTAATGGCTCATATTACTAAAAGATTTGAACCCTTAGATATAAATTAGATCAATGGACAAGATTGAGAGTGTAACTTACACTGGTGTAAAATGATCCTGACCCTATATATATATATATATATATATATATATATATATATATATATATATATATATATATATATATATATATAGGGTTTTATAAGAGTTATGTTGTAGGAAAAGTGACTGTGTTATGTTATAGAGATTCGTTTTACGTGTCGAAGTTTTTTTTTTTTTTTTGCTGCGGGCCCCACAAAATGTTGTGAGTGTAGGAAACTTTTTGTGGTCATGTTAAATAATAGATGATAAACCCATATATATATGGGAATATCCGTTCACAAATTTTTTTTATAAATTAAACTAAGTACACTCTTGATTAAAGTATGACCGGTCATGCTTAGTGTAGTTTGTAAACAAATTTTTTGTAAATATAACATTTCCCTATATATATATATATGTATATGGGACAAGATCCGTTTACAAACTTTTTTGCAATTACACTAATGTAGGACCAGTGGTACACTGTGTGATTAATGTAGGACCGGTCCTACATAGTGCAGTTTGTAAACAAAAAAAATTGTAAATATAACATATCCCTATATATATATATATATATATATATATGAAAAAGTATTTCTACAGTCACTTTAGATAACATTATCTACAACTATCTTTTTTTAACTAAGTCTGACCACTAAGACATAGTTATACAACAAAGCCGTTCTTTTATTTTTTTTCCTCTCTTCAGACATTATCGACTGATGTGGCGGAAAGAGAAAATGCAATTTTTATGTCTTACTGGTCAGACTTAGTTAAAAAAAATAGATGTAGACAACCTAAAGTGACTTAGAAATGTTTAACTCATATATATATATATATATATATATATATATATATATATATATATATATATGCTTTATTAAAGGTCATTATTGTGTAGAAATCAAAAACTATTGATAGCATAAGTTCACCCACCTTCAGCCCCATCGCAGTGTTTTTGTGTGAAATTATTTGGTACTGGTGAGTGTAGAATTAATTTGCACTTTAAGGGGAAAGCGGGGTTTAGGAGTTGAACTTCTGCTATTAACTTGATTCAACGTCTTGTGTGCAGGTGTCCAGCGCCACAGCCACCTTTGCCATGGCCTTCTCCTCATCTATGTCTGTGATAGAATACTACTTGCTGAAACGTTTTCCAGTTCCTTATGGTTGGTGCCCGAAAACTTCTAGTTAACTATCTATTTAGCTTCCTCCTTCCCTATATGATGCAGTTAATTACTTGATTGCCTCTAACCTGTGCGTTTTTGTGAAATGTTGCACAGCTGTTTACTTTACCCTGGTGGCTACTATTGCAGCCCTGGTTGGACAACATATTGTGAGAAAGCTGATCATCTTATTCGGAAGAGCATCCCTTATCATCTTCATTCTGGCCTCTACAATATTTGTTAGTGCAATCTCACTAGGTGGGCCTCACAATTTTCTCTTGTTTGGTTTGGTTTGGTTATATACACATCTCAAAAATTTACTTGGGGCGGCATCATATTGATATGCTTACGAATTCTGACACGTTTTTCATTCATTTGTTAGGGGGAGTTGGCATTTCAAATATGGTGCACAAGATTCAGAATCATGAGTATATGGGATTTGAGAATATCTGCAAGTACGGGTCATAGCACATTCTCGAAGATTATTTTGTCGTGTTTACATTATCCATGTTCCGTACCAAAGCCTGGAGCGAAAGGTCGCCAAAATTGACTTCTGCTTCGTGCCGAGGCTTCTATCCTGTTAGAAAGGGTCATTTTTTATTGTTGCCATGTCATGGACTGATTCCATAGGAAATTCAGAAACTGAATTATATTCCGTATATTCTTTGTGTTCAAGCTTTTCTATCATCTAGTTTTTTTAATGAAAATTGTGTGGTCTAAATCCTTTTTGTGTTATTTATTGACAAATTGACAATAATCTCAATATTAAAATACCAATCATAATAAGAGTAAACGAAGGGGAAGCCAACCCTTTATATAGTTTAAACAAAACTTTGGGGTCATCTTCTGAACAAAATTGATGTGGAAACCGGTTATTAATTACTTTGACGATGCTTTATATCCTCTCACACACAGGATCATTACGCATAGATTATGAAAGTGTAGTTATATTTAAACCAATTTTTTTTTTTTTTTTTGTCATACTTTCTTTACACCACTTCTAATATCTTCACTAAAAGAGGTAAGTTTCCAGTTAACCTTGCGTACAGATAAATTTATGTGCTATAAAAAATTATATAAAATATTAAACGACAAATATCTTGCACAACTTAGATTATTTGGTCACAAGGAAAGCTCCAGCTCGAAGGCGCAGAAATAATTAGTTTCATAGAGTGCATATCATAAAATGGTTTGATTGGATTTTTAACTTTCTTCGGAGGCAATATCAGCTAAGTTTGGGTACTATAAGATGCAATCACTGCTATTATAATAGTTAAAAAAATATGTCACCAGCAATAGTCGGTTGAGTCATTTTTAGCACCAAAGTGAATTCAGGCACAAACACTCAAGCCCTCGAACTCCAATATTGACGGGCATAGAATTTATGGTACTGTTCTTTTCTTTCTAATAAGCGCGGTCTTTACACTATGGGTTGGGTGAAGTCATACCGTATCAGGGGAAAATTAATTTAACTTTCTTGCGTTTATGTTTGGTTGAAGGTAAAATATTACTGAAAAAATGAGGTGAAATTACGAAAATAACCCTTGACTAAATAATATTACACGGTACATGAACAGGATCAGAATAGGATCAAAAGAGGGTCATTTTCGTCATTTACTTCGTGCTCCTTTTTTCAATTTGCCTGTAATATCAAAATACCATCTTCGAAGTGGTATTCGTAAACAATGTTTTTCATCACAATTTTCAAAGAAACGAGAAATGATGGAACAGTGACTAAAGTGTCACGTTTGGACAAAAAAATTACCAGACTGCCACGCCAACAGTAAATTTTGCCAAAATGCCACGCGGCATAATTCGCTACACAGTGTAGCGAATTATGCATGCAAGTAATTCGCTACACAGTATAGCAAAATATGCCACGCCAGAACGCACTGAACCAAAAATGCCACATGTCAAATTTTACAAAATTCGCTACATAGGGTAGCGAAATTTGCAAAATTTGACATGTGGCATTTTTGGTTCTGACGTAGCATATTTCGCTACACTGTGTAGCGAATTACTTGCATACATAATTCGCTATACTGTGTAGCGAATTATGCCGCGTGGCATTTTAGCAAAATTTACTCTTGGCGTGGCAGTCTGGTAATTTTTTTGTCCAAACGTGACAAAATGGTCACTCTTCCGAAATGATGGGCAAATCAGTTATTGCTGAATTTTTAAAAAACTTGTACCAAATATGGATAACTTGGAATACCATTCTGAAATGCCTAGGTATCTTCAGAAAAACTCTTACCAAACGCCCCCTTAAATCATTCCGGTGTTAGAAATTTTATTTTGTTTTAGAATCAATTTTTGTTCGAAATCTTTTTTTTTTCTTCACTACTAGGGGGACTCACAAATTTTGTTTCAGTGACATAAGATCTCACTTCTCCTATTAAAGAAGAAGTGTTTTACCTTTTAATTATGGGCTTTAATGTTTCTACAATAAATATAGATAACTTATTTATATTCACTTTTAAAATGATATTGTTTTGAATTGAAAAATTAAAAAATTATAATAAAAAGACTATCATAATCCTGAAATAAATTATAATTATTAAAATATCTTGATTTTTATCCTAAAATGACGTCGTTTTGAACTTAATATAGATAACTTATTTACATTTAATTGTAAAAAAGATTAACCAATAATTATATTACAATTACACGCATCTTCATCATATAATTACACGCATCTTCATCATATAACTTATTTGCACTTGTATGTTATAGAGGAGAATATAAGGAAAAATCATTTCTGCAGTCGTTTTACGTACAACAACGGTAAGTGTATGGTTATGATTTTTCACAATTAATGTTTTCATCTTTTGTATAGTTATAATTCCTCATATTTAATGCTTTCAAATATATATATATATATATATATATATATATATATATATATATATATATATATATATATATATATATATATATAGGGTCAGGATCATTTTACACCAGTGTAATTACACTCTCAATCTTGTCCGTTGATCCCACTTATATCTAAGGGTTTAAATTTTTTAGTAATGTGAGTCATTGGATACAAGTGAATCAATGATCAAAATTGAGTATATATAACAAATATTTGATTGCTGCAGATATGTTCAACAATTATAAACCCCGGAATATAAACACATTACAATGCTCCAACTTTCACGGGCTTACGTTTCGGGCTTCTTTCCCCCTTATTGGCCTTTTTTTGTTTTGGGTGAAAGTTAATTGCGTTTGATTAGAACCTTAAAATTCCCAACCAAATATTGTATTTGTAAATTGACCCCAATGTTGGAAAAAGACGAAAGGGAGGGTTCCGTGTTTATGTTTTATGCAGTGATTCGGATAGCTATTCCCCAAATGGTATTTGTAATTGTAACAGGGCAGGTCTCAAACTGAGAACCCTAACGCAATCCCTTTCTTCTCGTGTGCGTGCGTGCGTGAAAACAAAGCAAAGCAACTCGATGGTGTTCTACTTCCAAGCACGCCCAGAATCTGGCGATTACACCATCTTCATGGGCCTTGACAAGTTCGAGAACGAGGAGCTCATCAAATTCGGTTTTCCCGAAGACATCTGGTCACCCTAACCGATTTCTAACTCTAATATTTCTATATTCTTATTCCTCTATTTTGTGTATTTATTCTCCGTTTTCAGAAATTCTCTGCAACGGAAAAAAAATAAAAATGCATATGTGATATGTCCTTTGTGTGTTTCCTTTATGATTGGTTTGATGATCAGTTGTTTGTGTAGCGAAGCTTTCTGTTATGCTTTGAATTTGATTAAGTAATAATTTGGTGGTAAATCTTTTTGCACTGTGTTTTATTGAAACCCTGGTGCTGTTTTTGTTGCTAACAGTCAGGTTTCTTCAGGATTGTGATTCAGCCAATTCTGTTGTTATAGTAATACTATCTTTATGCTGTGACTACAATTGAGTCGTTTTCATATAAGAAGCAATTTACTCTTGCAATGTGATATTATCGGTAGACTATTTGTTCTATTCCCTATCTCCCAGTTTCCCTATCTCCCAGCATGGGGCAGACTTGCTCTTTCTGGAAGATATAAGTCCCCTTGAGATCTGTTCAGTCAGGGATACTTGGGCTGAACGGAAGATGGTGGTGAACTTCTCTGGCTGGTGCAGCCGGATGAGGTGGTGGTGCATCTGTAAGGGCTCCGATGTTCAAGTTAGTAATATGAAGAGAGTGGAGCAATAAGTGTTAGATGCATACATGAGGGATTCACCTCTGTATTTATAGGAGGAAAAGCTAGTGGATCCTTGTTTGGGACCCATCCGGAGGTGATGGGACATAGACAGTCAGGGCCATGCCGCCACTCCTGCCATGGAAGGCGAATGTGATAATGGGTCGTGCATTGTGGGCCCATACTGAGACATCAGCCAAGATGATGGAATGTCTGACCTGCTTTGATGGTTGGATTCCGGGCCAAGTTCTCAACCCAGAACTAGACCCTTTTCTAAATTTCGTTGCCTGAAATTTTGATTGAATTATATTTTGATTTGATGATTTGATGGTTTTGTAGATAGTTGAATAAGATTTTTGTTTTTGCTCTTTTCTAAGGCTCTTTAATGATAAGATCTGTCTATTGTAGGTTCCATGTTGATAAAATGTCTTCAGCCCACGTCTATGTCAGGCTGCACAAAGGTCAGACTATTGATGACATGAGTCAAACGTTACTGGAAGACTGTGCTCAGCTTGTCAAAGCAAATTCAATTCAAGGTAAAAGCCTGACTGATTATTTATGTGGTTATTAGTTCGATTGATTTAAAAGCCAATTTTATGTATCCTTGCAAGCATATATATTAAGCTTCACGTTGCTCTTATTGAGGTTTCTTCAGTTATTTACAACTGGAAGTCAGGAAGACTAAATCTATCTTACTAGGCTTCAAGACAAAGATATATAGTTATACTTTACTAATATATGTATTTCCTTCCAATTTCTAATTCTATGTGCTTAGTGCTTATCTTTCTTTCTTTATTCTTGGCAGGAAATAAAGTCAACAACATTGATGTTGTTTACACTCCCTGGTCCAATTTAAAGAAAACTGCTTCGATGGATGTTGGTCAAGTTGGTTTTCACAACTCAAAAATGGTGAATGTTGTTACCCTTGGATAATTTGCATTTTCTTTCTCATTTTTTCAGTTCTCTGTCTTTTTCCTTTCTTTCGCAGTGGGTGAGTAGATGTTTGAGCTTCCATTTTCAAGTATCATTATCTGGTTTTCAATAAATAATTTTCATACATTTTAGGTTCGAACTATTAGAGTGGAGAAGCGGATCAATGAGATTGTTAACAGGCTAAACAGGACAAAAGCGGAAAAAAAACCTGATTTGAAAGGTAACTAATAAGTTTTCTTTCTTTGGCATATATATTTCTTTGGACATTTGAGTTAAAAGTTAAAAATGTTATTTGCTGGATAAGGAGGCAAATGTGCACCTTTTTTCTCAAAAAATAATTTTTGTTATCATATCTACCCATTTACCCATTGTTGTGTCTTATGTATAGTATGCTTGCAAATGGGATTTGACTTATCTGATCTTGATATATATATGGATACTTGCACTGCAGCTGAGCGAGAAGCAGTTAATGCAGCTGAAAGAGCGGAGAGAAAACAACAGCTGAGAGAAAAAGTGAGTATTGCAGAATTGTTCATTTATTTATTTATATTTTAATTCATGCCCAAACCAATTGTTCTTGTTATCATCCTAAGTATCTCTGCATGGTATAGATTATGCAACAGCCTTAGATTCTAAATATATAATATTAATTTAATTTTAATGCATTGTCAGTATAAAATTTTTTCACACTAGCATCCCAATATCTATTTCCACATTGTTTAATGAGTTTGACACCTTATGTAATTATTAACATATGTACTCATTAGATTATGTGTTATCGTATCATTGGATGTGTGACTTTTTACACTGACAGTACATCAAAATTAGACTCATAATATATTGTATGACAGTTACTAGAACTTGAGCTGCAGTCATTCTTCTAAGTGAATTGATGAATGATTGTTTTCATGTTCACCACTGTCTTTCGAACCGTCATCTTGTATACCATTTAGGGGCACAGTTCTCTAAATTGTCTTTTCCTTTGGCCTCATGTACTGCTTGAGTTCTTTGACTCACTTGCAGCTTGCCCTTTAGCATGTCTTGTTTGTGAACTTTGTTAAGAGTTCGAGGGTGCAACCTACGGTTTCTAGGATGTCTGCCTCTGCAGAATTTGTCTGATAAAAAGGAAACCTCTTCTTTGAGGTGTAGCATATGTGGAATTCAATTACTATGCTTTAATTGGCAAAATGTCTTATTGTCTTCTTCCTTGATTTCTAGTTCAATGTGCATATCACAGAAAATGCCACAATCAAACGTGAAAATATTCTTATTGGACAATTGTTTTATTTATTTTTAACCACATGTTTCTATGTGCAGAAACGCCGTGAGGAAATGGAAAGACTTGAAAAGGAGAAACAATCAGAGCTTAGGAGCTACAAGGGTTTGATGGTCACAGAAAATATGACATCCAACAAACAAATTGCATCAGGAAGCAAATCATTGCAGGAATTGGAGGAGGATTTCATGTAAGCATTGATTATTGGATTATAGGCAGATGGCTGGTGGTCAATTTGCTACCTGGCGGATTTACATTGATTAAATAACCCAACTCCTGGAATTGAAACTGCATTGTCTTGGTTAAGAAAACCAAATGGTGTGTACACAACTGTGATTGAGGGATTAAAGGAGAAGAGAAGAAAAAACGGGAGTGAATGTAATGCTTGGTTTTTGTACCTGGTGATGGCAATATACATGATTTATGACCTTGCTTGAGACAATGGTGTTTTAAATTAATTTTCTGGCAGTCGAGTCAAAAACTGAAGTTTCTTGATACAATTATCATAGTAGTCTTGTTGCTTGTCCGGTTTAGAATTTGGTTTCCTTTTTGCGCTTGATGTTCACTGTGTGTGAAAATTATTTGGAAATTATGTAGTGTTTATGAAACTGGAAGAGAAGCTTTTCATTCTTGCTTATATTAAGATTAATGATGAACAATAATTTAGGGCGACCTTATGTTGTAAGATTTACTCATTAACGTACATGCACTAAAATATCTGCTACTATATATGAATGCTTGCATAGTTGAATCGTACAATAAACTCTTCTGTTGTAACAGCATGATGATATTTTGTTAGTTTACACCTTGCTGAATCAGAAACTGAATTGAAATAGGACGATTTCTGCTATTATAGTAGAATTTTGATAAATATACTTATAATAATTTTTCGTAAGCGAACAATCTCTGATCTCATTTATCCAAAATTTGAATGTAACTATACTACTAATTTTGTTCTCTTTTACTTATATCTATTTATATTATAATTGCTAGAAGTCAATGTGGCATAAGATTATAATAATGATTGAATGATGATGAAACTCAGAAAATATTCAAAAACAAGTATTATCATTTCGCATCTCATTAGGATGAAACGGTAGTATTTGTCTGCAAAGAATTACATCTTGCAATAATTGCTCTTAAGTATTTTGGTTCTTACCAAGTTCCATGATCATTCCAAAATAAAAGAAGCAATTAATTCATTATTCTTATAAATTAAATAACTGGTGGTGGTGTTGTAATGTGACCTAGTTGATTAATAAAATCATTCTCTTGTTAATGAAGGTAAAACTATCTATCATAGGCTCTTCTTTGGGCCCCGTAAAGAGTAGAGCTTTATAACATCAAGGATATGTTCTCGGTAACCCGAGTGGAGTCAAGCATTCGAACGGAGAAACTTATAGCTTGGTCCTTTCCTTATTTGAATTACATTAAGATAAATGTTGATGGGACTAGTTCTACTGGTGGATTATATTCAGGCCGTGGTGGTGTCCTTCGGGATAGCTCCGGTAACTGGGTTATTGGTTTTTGTAAGAATCTGGAAAACGGAATAGCTTTGAACACAGAATTATGGGACTTATTGGTGGGTCTAGAGGTAGCTTGGAGCAAAGGTTTTAGAAATGTGTGGATAGAAGGAGACTCTCAGATGGCTCAACAGCTGGTCCTTAGAGGATGTAGTCACTCTCACCCATCTTCTGCTTTGATTAGTCGCATCAAGAAATTTCTGGCCAAGGATTGGAATGTTACTATTGCTCATATCCATCGTGAAGGGAATGCAGTGGCCGATTGGCTAGCTGCTTATGCTAGTAACTTCTCTTGGAATATTTAGTTCTTGGATCTTCCTCCTCAGGAGTGCATGCATCAGTTACAGAGTGACTTCATGGGAACTTACTGGCCTAGGCTTTGTGCTTAGTTTATTTTGTTTCTTTCTGTCTTTGTTCTTTCTTTTCATCTTGTGTCCAAAAAAAAATATATATCACTTTGAGTTTGTAGAATCATGAATAAATATATAATTTGTTCCTTAAGGTGGCGTTTGGTTCAGGTTTTTTGATGGGATACCTAGACATCATACCATGGCATTTTAACTTGACCATGTTTGGTACAAGTCATTTAAAAAATATGGCAGCAAAATGATTTGCTCATTCTTTCACTTTGTGTGCAAAAAGGAACGAGAAACAACGGGCAATAATGCCAATCTTGATGTGGTATTTTAATATAATCGGATAAATGGAGTAAAGTGAAAGAAGGACCTGACTCTAATACTCTCATGAACAGATAAAGTAGCGCCAAAGTTCCACTTAATAAGGGGTTACTTTAGTAATTTTATATCATTTTTTCATCATTATTTTATCTCAACCAAACATAGACTTAGAAAATTTTAATCAATTTTTCTAGTAATATTTTGTCCTACCAAACAACTTTTTTTCAACTTTATCAGCAAATTTACTTTCCTACAATTTCTTCAATAATTATTTTCCTCGATAAAAACAAAATTTCTCCTATATCAAACACTCTAAGAGATATATTTTGTGCGCTTTTAGTCTCAAAAAATTTGGTTGTGTATAAAATAGTTTCCAAATTTGTGCAAGTATTAATGAGTCAATCCTTTTATTACAAAGAAGTTGAATCGTTAAGTTAAATGCACGCGTGTATCCCTCGCAATACACCATGTGTGTGCTTTCATTGGGGTTTTTGAAGATCAACTATTGGAAGATCTAGCTTGAGATTGATTACAGAAATTTAGATATTATTTTGTACATAACCAAATAACCAACCTTCCAAAAACTAGAGCCATATCTCTGACGAATTAAATTGTGTATTTAACAAACTTAATAAAAAGGAAAATCATTAAAAGGACAGCTTTTAATTCAATTTTTTTTTTTGTAAACAACTTTTAATTCATTTTTCATGTCTCGAAAGAATTGCCATTAATAATATATTTTTATTATGAAAATATTATTTTATACAAATAATAATAATAATAAATTAAAATTCAGGAAGTGACGACACTATCATCTCCCTTCCTGGATCTGCTCGTGCCTTGTGACTTTGTGAGGTATTTGCTTAAATCATTACTAATTAAATATCTTCCACGAAAGAAGTACTCAAAAAAAAAATAAAAAAAATCCCGCTTGCGATATGCGATTTCCTTCTGCTTATTTAAACAAATAAAAATCACACACTATATGCAAGACTTATCTTACGAAATTAATCACGGTTTATAGCATTACATTGATGTTATCTTTAAAAATATATTATTTGAGATTATTTTTAAAAAAAAGCAACTTATTTAGTCATTTTGCCTCCAGAAAAATTGGTGCATTATAATATTTTAATCCAAAGTAAATATATTATAGGTTTTAACTTCTTTTTTTCAACACATAATTTCTTTTTTATCTTTACTCTTTTAAAAAAATTTGTAACCTCTAATATGTGATATTTGTTTCAATATTATTAATAACTTTATATGCACAATAAGTCATCTATAATATTTAGTAAATAATTACAACACCTGCGAAGCTCAATGCATCCGTTGTTCTAATAATGGGTAGCCTTCAGGGCTGTATTCCAAGGACAAGATGACCGGAGGAGATTGAATGAAGATACTTACAGGTTATACAAAAAAAAAAAAAAAAATTAATTACAACACCATTTGATATTTTATACACAAAATTTGATGCTTGTTTCTAAAAAATTCCATTATTTGATTAAAAATTTAAAATTTTAGACTATCTTTGTTATAAATAAAAATTAAATAACTATATATATAAATAAATATTTTCTTTTTAGTACAACAACGGGGCAAATGCCCAAAACAGAAATTACAAGAAGAAAGAGTCAGCTCCCAAGATAGTAATCATCCTATCAGGGGCTATATTAAGGACCACAAAAAGGCTCTTGGCAAGAGACAGTCCAGTTAGCCAGATAGTCTGCACTCATATTTCCATTCCTCTTCACATGGACCAACTTGATTTGCCAGCTCCTATTACACAAGCTCCTTATGCTACTAATTATCTGGTGATGGCAGGAGCCGACGTCTTCCTCAGAAATGGCTTGGACAGCCTGCATGCAATCGCTCTCAACAATGAGCTTTTGGGCTTTACACTCCCAGGCCACCTGCATTCCTTTGTAGATTGCCCACAATTCTGCATCAAGGGGGTGCAAAACACAATCTTATACATAAATCCCGTTATCCACATACCCTGATCATCTCGAATTAGGCCCCCGCAAGTAGCTATGCCTAAGTTCTCCTTGACCGCATCATCAACATTAAGCTTCCACCAGCTTTGAGGAGGGGCCTTCCATTTATCACTAAAGTTTGATACTGTATTCTTTTTCATATGAACCAGATGGGGAAGGCTGTTTCTAATATCTCTGATGTAAGCTAAGATGACTATAATTGGATCATTGGGCCTGGCAAAGGACGGGTCATAGATCTCCCCATTCCTCCATCTCCACAGGAACCAAATCGTAGTAACAAAGATATCCTTCCAGGCTAGAATTTGGCAATTAGGCCACCCTTTATGAAGATTTTTCTGCAACCAAACATCGAAGAGGGCTAGGAAGAAGTCACCCAGAGGATACCCCAAGAACCAAGCACTCCATACCTGAACAACCTTTGGGAAGTCCCTCATAACATGGATGATGCTCTCCACTAGAGAAACACATGCATGACAGGACGAAATCCTACCCCAATTCGCAGTTATTTCCTTTGTTAGAAGACGCCCATGGTACACTAATCAAACAAAGGATCGAATTCTGTGAGGACCCTTCCATTTCCAGATTAAGTTCCAAGTTGGATTTGGATCAAGAGCATTAAACTCCATCAGTTTATTTTATTGTAGGCAAGCTTGACAACATTCTTCTGACCGATCACATTACTCCAGACCAATTCATCATCCCCACGATCAATAGAAGGAGGAAGAGTAGCCCGAATTGAGTTCACAGCCTCCAAAAGAAGGAAATCAGAAATATTATGTAAAAGCCAATCTCCTGTGTTTGGATTCACCATGTCAACCACTCTTGTTTCAAAATCAGTAGCCATTTGGTTGGGCAAGGTATACTCACACAGGGGTTTCTCAAGATTGGTCCACCTATCTTGCCAGAAGTAGGTATCATTTCCATTGCCAACATCCCAATGCAAGTTGTCTAGGAATCTATTCCAAATTCGACTCAATCCTTTCTAGAGGGCCGAATCATAAGATTTGACTTTGGCTTGCCTTCTAATATCCTGGTTTCTAGCATATTTCCCATACAGAACCTGAGCCCATAAATCTTCCTTATTGTTGACCATTCTCCAAGCTACTTTATGAAGAAAAGCTTCATTATGCACTTTTAAGTTATGAATGCCTAGCCCTCCCAAATTCTTGGGCTTACACAAGTTTTCCCATGTAATGAGATGAACCTTTTTTGCCTCGGCATTGTCTCCCCAAATAAAAGAGCGCTGAATTTTCTCAATATCCTTGTACACCGTGATGGGGAGCGAGCCATGATGCATATGGTAGATTGGAATAGAGCTTAAAATCGAGTTTGCTAGGGTCACCCTCCCAGCAAAGGATAGGAGATTGCTTTTCCAGTTTGAGAGACGGGCTTTTACTCTCTCAAGCACTCCAGCAAAATTCCTCCTCCTCCTCCCCCAGCCATGATAAAGCATAGAACCAAGATACTTCCCCAGAGAACTGGCAGCAGAGAATCCACTAGCCCTAACAATTTCCTCCTTGATCCTAAGATTTGTATTCCTAGAGAAGTAGATCGTAGTCTTTTCAATACTGACTAACTGACCTGAAATATCACAAAAATCTTTAAGGCATCCCAGCATCACCTCTAACTGGTCCAGGTTAGCTTCACCAAATAAAACAAGGTCATCTGCGAACATAAGGTGGGAGATAGCAGGGCCATTTATTCCAGCTTTCATGGGCTTCCACTTATTGTTCCGGACAACATTAGCTATAAGACAGGAGAGCTTATCCATGCAGAGAACGAATAAGTAGGGAGATATAGGGTCTCCTTGGCGGATTCCTCTGGTGGGAGTGAACTGATCTGAGCAGCTTCCAATCCACATAACTTGGAATTTAGAGGAAGTGATACAAGATTCTATGATTTTGACCAGATTCACAGGGATCCCAGCTTCTAAAAGCACATTACTGACAAAGCCCCAACTTAACCTATCATAAGCTTTGGCCAGATCAATCTTAATAGACATAAACGCTTTCTTGCCTGTTAACCTATTCATAGAGTGGGTCATTTCCTGATATATAATAACATTATCGTGGATCACTCTCCCAGGAACATAGCTAGTTTGAAAGTGGGAGATCAAAGTGTTCATTAAGGGTTTCAACCGGTTGACTATGATCTTGGTGATTGACTTATAAATCGCATTGCATAAGGCTATAGGCCTAAGCTGTTCCACCCTCTCTGACTTCTCCACTTTGGGAATAAGGACCGGAAGTGTCTCATTAATACTAGAGATCTCGTGAGGATTGTCAAGATAAAATCTGATATCAGAGCAAAACTTCTTAGACAGAAAGTTCCAGTTCCGTGGGTAGAAAGCAGCCGGGTAACCATCTGGTCCTGGGGCTTTGTGAGGCCCCATTTGAAAAATAGCATTCCTTATGTGCTCATCAGAAAAAGGGATACAAAGAGCCTGCTTATCCAATTCAGTCAGCTGAGGCCAGTTCACCTTCGTGGCTATCCAGTTCCTGACAGATTGATCTTCAGAAAACAGCTTAATGTAGAAATTGGTGACCATGGACTTAAGCGAAGACTCATTCCTTATCCAAATGCCCACATCATTTTTAAGAGCCATAATTTTACTTCGTCTCCTCTTTGCAATAGCAGAAACATGGTAGAATTTTTTGTTGCGGTCCCCCCCGTCTTTGACCCAGGTAGCTCTGGATTTTTTATACCACAATTGCTCTTCAAGGTCCAGAACCTCTTCTAGCTCACCCCTCAAATATTTAACTAATGGAACATAATCATTTCATATCGGTGTCAAATTTAAAAGTTTAACACAAAATCTTAATTATCAATTTTTGTCAATATAATAATTATAATTTATTAAAAATTAATAATTAATTAATAAATATGACTCGATAAATTAAAGCTGTTAGATTGACAAAAATTTATAATTAAGATTTTGCATTAAATTTTTTAATTTGACACTAACGTCAATGTCGCTTAACTAATAACTGATTAAAATAAATTGAAAACGAATAATATCTACCTCGTAATTCTCCGAAAAAAAGAAAAGAAAAGGAATTGCAAGAGTTTGGACCGCGAACCGGTGGGAAACCGAACCCGTCCTATTTTGTTTTCATAGCTGAACTCGTTCTTTAAAAACGCAGGTTAAAGGGGTCTAAGCAAACTTCGCTAAAACCCTAAACGAACATAGACACTCTCTTTCTCTCGTTGTACATCAATGGCGACGCCGTCGTTGGACGAAGAAACAACTAAGAATGTGATACGACAAGTACGAATCATATTTCAATCTTGCTTTCTAATTCAAATCGTTTTTTTTTTTTTTAAAACTTTTCTGTAATTATCGTTTATCCAATTCTTGTTTTTCTCTCAGGTGGAGTTCTATTTCAGTGATAGTAACCTTCCTATTGACAGTTTTATGAGGAAAACTGTCAGCGAAAGCGAAGATGGAAGTATCCTTGTTCTTCTTTTTTTATTTTAGCTGTTTCTTGTGTAACTCTAGTGTTTTGTTAAAAGTAATTTGGAGTTTTCATTGTTATTCTTGACTGTGACCGCACAGTGGTTAGTTTGGCGCTGATTTGTTCTTTTAATCGAATGCGAAAGCACCTTAATTTGGGTGATATAAAGCCCGATGAAGTGACTGAAGATACTGTTAATGCTGTTGCTCAAGCTTTGAGAAATTCGGCTTCACTCAAGGTCTCCGAAGATGGTCAGATTCCTCTGCTCAACTTCTTTCTGTCTTTGTGAGAATATGCAATGTATTTTTTTTATTCTAGCTAGTTTAGAGCAGGAAATATTGGTTTCTTTCCCCTCAAGTTTTCTTGGCTTAGACATTGGTATATAATTTATATGCATTAGTGCATTTAGTGCTATTAACAGCTACAAATTATCCTGTTTGTTTGTTTGTTTTTCTTTTAAACATTTTTTTGGTCATTGAGATGAGTAGTTTAGGAAGCACGTGGTCATAAATACAAATAACTTCATTTTTGAACTTTGCGTTCCGTGAGGGGGACAATGAAATGACATTAGTTGAACTGCATATTTGTTTCTGTCAAATTGATGGTTGACTGGATAAAAATATCTTTTGTATTTATTTTTGGATGCTAATTCTATGTAGAATGAACACTTATAAGTTATAGTGCATGTCTTCCTTCTTTATTTGTATGTTTCAGGGAAAAAAGTTGGTAGGGCAACTGAACTTCCAAAGCCAGAAGAGGTAATTGAGCAGGTGGAGATAAGAACACTTGCTGCATCACCATTTGAATATGATCTGAAGCTTGAAGATGTGGAGACATTCTTTGGTCAATATGCCAAGGTAATAATAGCACCAGGGACCAGTACCATGAATTACATTCTAACATTTTAGCTAAAAAGCATTATGTTTCTTCTACTTATTCTCTGAGTTTTCAATGTATGGTGTTAGCCAATTGGAGTGAAAATTGCATAAAAAAGTTTGTTATAGCTCTTGACTGGGAATTAAGGGCTTAGCTCCAATGCTTCTTATAATCTAAGACATTCTTCATTATTTAAAGATAAACCAGGACATTGTGTTCCATGGATCCATATCCAAAACCATTGCTGATGCATACCCCAGTTGCCCCTCATTCTATCCATGAAAAGATGGTTGAGTTGGATTCCTCCACCTCAGGAATTCGTTGCACTCAACATAGATGGAACCTCTCTTGGGGACCCTATTAGAGCAGGATTGAGCATCCTTCTGCATCAACTGGATGGATCCTAATTTGTGGGTTTTACTGGATATATTGGGCATTCTTACAATCTGCATGCTGAACTTCTTGCCATTCTTCATGGACTTAACTCTTAAGGTGGCTTGGAACACCGAACTGAGAAGGTTATATGTTACTCTGATTCAAAAGATGCTTACTCTCTGATCACCTGTGCTCCTCCCCCTCAAAGGAATGGGAAGTATGTCTTTGACATACACTAAGAGCAGGTAACAGCTGCATGGACTTTCTGGCTAAGCTTGGAGCTTCCATGGACAACAAGCTCCTCACTATATACTCCCCTCCTACTGGTCTTGCACTCCACTTGATGGTCTTGCACGGGGTTTTGTTGGGTTTTTATTTCCTACTGTACCAAAAAGACCATGGATTCTATTCCAATGGTTAATCTTTGAGTGCTTTAGATTATGGATTACCTTTAATGAGAAACTGTTTAGATGACAGTTCCTATCAAGTACAAAGTACTTTGTGAGTTCTTTTTATATGTTTTTTAAATTTTGTATAACAAAAAGAAGAAATTCTTTGGTTTCAGGTTAATAGTGTCCGGCTGCCTCGTCATGTTGGAGACAAAAAATTCTTCTGTGGCACTGCCCTTATTGAATTCTCATCAGAGGAAGAAGTTGAAAAAGTTACGAAGCAAAAACTAGTCTATGCTGGGGTTGAGTTGGAATTAAAACCAAAGTAAGAATGCTTATAACCATTCAATTCAATTACCTAGGATGAATTTTACTAGACAAAGTTTAAATTTTTTCCTTATAAAGAATAATTTTTTAAAATATTTGAAAGGAAAGGTTCTTTGTGTAAAAGAAACTAAGAAAGTATTGCAATAGGAATTGCTTTTTCTCCCCCCCCAATATTTGTGAAATGGAAATAACGAGTTCCTTTAGCGCCAGGTTTTCCTGGCATCATTTTATGAAGAGTTTTAATTCTGTGAATTGTTTGTGAGATGCTTTCGTCACAAATTATGATAATTTTGGTACAGAGACAATCAGACAGAAATGCACCAATGCTCAGTGTTTGATAATATATATGGAATTATGGATATTGTCTAATGTTTATATTTATATCCATTTCAGAAAGGATTTTGATGCAGAGAGAGAAAAAGAATTAGAAGATTATGAAAAATCTCGACCACCTATGGGTTCAGATCGTCAGAATAACTCAAATGCAGAAGAAAAGTAAGAAGCTGCCAATTTTTTATCCCCCTCAAAATATACACACACACTTATATATATAAACTGATAGTTTTAATTCATGTTTATCACAGCTACCCTAAAGGCTTAATTATTGCCTTCAAATTAAAGAGCACTTCAGATGTAGTTCCATCAGAACAAAATGGTGTTGATCAACAAGCGAATGGCAATGGTGCTGTCTCCAAAACAGATGAAAAAAATCCCTCTGAAATTACTTCTGGGGAAAGTGACCAAAAGGTATCAGGAAATGTTGACGATGATGATGAGATGAAAGAAGGAAAGGAAACTGAAGGTGAAGAAAAGAGTCAAGAAACTGATGAAAAAATTACAGCTGCAGCTTACAAGGACAACATGGATGTTGTCTTGCGTGAGGATTTGAAGGGTGTCTTTCAGAAGTTTGGTACAGTGAAGGTACTTGACTTTTCCCCTTCTATTGAGGGAAAGGAAAATTCTCATTATGAATGAATAACATTTACAAGTTCAGTCTCATATATATACATGAGATGGAAACGCTATACAAAGTGAAGAAAGAAGCGGGAAAAGTGGTTATACATAACAAACTCTGGTTATACATAACAAACTCTAGAAACAGAAAACAAACTACAGTTCCTATCAGTTTCTATCGTGATTGGTGGCTGTGAAGGTTGAATCATCCACATCAGCGTTATTGGACTGTTGATGCGAGTTGGGCCGTTGCTGCGAATTGGGCCGTTGGATACCTGGTGTTACCCCCCCCAACAAGATGGCCATAGGATGTTAACAAGGCCCATCTTGGAAATGAACTGAGAAAAAAGAGAACTCAGGGGCTTCGTGAAAGCATCAGCAAGCTGATCGGAGGACTTGACCGGAAGAAGACGAAGTAACCCAGAAGTAATTTTCTCACGCGTGACATGGCAATCAATCTCGATGTGCTTCGACCGTTCGTGGAAAGTAGGATTATGTGCCAGGTAAATGGCAGAACGGTTGTCACAGTAGACCGAAGCTGGTTTCGTCCATGGCAAGTGAAGGTCCTGGAAGAGATATTGGAGCCATTGCAGCTCACAAGAGAGACTGGCCAGAGCGCGGTACTCAGCCTCAGAGGACGAACGAGAAACGATTGATTGCTTTTTGGATCGCCATGACACAAGAGAAGTACCAATAAAAACGCAGAGACCAGAAATAGACCTTCGTGTATCTGGGCAACAGGCCCAGTCAACATCAGCAAAAGCACGAATATCCAGTGAGGATGCAGCGGAGAAAAATAGCCCAGTTGCTGGACAACCTTTAAGGTACTTGAGAACACGAAGAGCAGCAGCCATGTGGATGTCAGTAGGTTGAGAAACGAATTGGGACAATTGCTGCACAGCAAAACTGATATCAGGACGGGTGGTGGTCAAGTAGAGGAGACGACCAACCAGACGTCGATAGGATGCTGGATCTTGTAGAAGAGTACCCTGAGTACGTGACAACTTGGATGAGGCTTCAAGTGGTGTGTAAACAGGTTTACCTCCGAGAAGACCAGCATCAGTGATTAGATCTAGAGCATATTTCCTTTGATTCAACGAAATGCCAGATTTAGACCGTGCTACCTCAAGGCCCAGAAAGTAGCGGAGTTGGCCAAGATCTTTGATCTTGAATTGGTCATCAAGATATGACTTGACCCGATTGATCTCAGTAATACAGTTCCCAGAAAGAACTATATCGTCAACATACACCAGAAGTATGGTGAAATTGGAAGATGACTGCTTTACAAACATGGAGTGGTCAGCATTGGTTTGAGAATAGCCCAGACTGAGCAAGGCAGAAGACAATTTCGCATACCACTGCCGGCTGGCCTGTTTTAACCCATACAGAGATTTCTGCAATTTACGTACAAGATTTGGCTGTGAAACAGATAAACCAGGAGGCAATTGCATGTAAACTTCCTCATGAAGTTCCCCATGAAGGAAAGCGTTGTTTACATCCAATTGAGCAAGATGCCAGCCCTTAATAGCAGCCACAGCAAGGAGTGTTCTAACAGTAGTGAGCTTGGCCACGGGTGAAAAGGTGTCAAAGTAATCCACTCCTTTTTGTTGAGTGAATCCTTTGGCAACCAAGCGTGCCTTATAACGCTCAACGGTCCCATCGGAGAGATACTTGACTTTGTAAACCCATTTGCATCCAATGGGATGTTTGTTAGGAGGGAGTGGCACTAAAGTCCATGTATGATTCTGATCCAAAGCCTGGAGTTCAGCCTGCATGGCTTGTTGCCATTCGATATGGTTGACAGCTTGTGAATATGTGTGTGGCTCTGTGTGTGTGCAAGTACTCAAACATAAATTTTTATATGAAGGGCAGCATTGATCATAAGACAGAAAATTAGCTAAAGGATAGCAAGATATACCTGAGGATGATGGATGCTGCTGACTGGTAGAAAGACCACAGTGATAGTCCTGAAGATATTGAGGAGCATATCTTAATCGTGAGGATTTTCGAATAAGGGGAACATTTGAATCAGAACTTGGAGAGGCATCTATTGTAGAAGTATCAAGAGTGGCACTGGGAGATAAGCCTATCACAAACTCAGGGGAAGGTATTGGCAAGGATGGTGTGGGGATATGAGAGGTAGGGGCTGCATTGTGATGAGAATGATTAGGTGAAAATGGTAAATCAGAAAGATCTGGTGGTAAGGAAGGTTCAATTAATTGGTTATTGTCAAGACTTGGACGTGGTGTCTTGAAAGGAAAAATATGTTCATAAAAAATAACATGGCGTGAGACAGATAGTTCATGAGAGTGGATATCATACAACAAATACCCTTTTGTTCCTGGTTTATAGCCAAGAAAAACAGTTTGACGTGCTCGTGGAGAAAACTTGGTGCGATGTGATGACAAAGTGGATGCATAACTCAGACACCCAAAGACACGTAAATGAAGAAGTGATGGGGACTCACCATATATTATTTCATAGGGAGTCTTATTGGCAAGAGTTGGACTACATACACGGTTGATTAAGTGAACACTGTGAGTAACAGCATATGACCAAAGTGGAATTGGTAATGAAGCTTGAAATAAGATTGCACGAGCCACATTCAAGATGTGCTGATGCTTGCGTTCAACAACACTTGTTTTGTTGTGTTTCAACGCAGCTAGTTTGGTGTATGATACCCTTGGATAAAAGGAATTCATCCATCATAAACTCTTTGCCATTGTCACTTCTAAAAATTTTAACAACAGAATGGAATTGTGTTTCAACAAATGCAATAAAATTGCGTATATGCATGCGAGTTTCACTCTTATTTTTCATTAGAATTAGCCAAGTAAATCGAGATAGGTCATCAACTAAGGTTAAAAAGTACTTGTGTCCATGTATGGATGGAACACTAAAGGGTCCCCATATGTCTGCATGCAGAATGTCAAAAATCATATTGGTTTTAGTGGTGCTAGGCTGGAAAGGTAATTTTCTTTGTTTAGCTAGATGACAAGCATCACAAGGACCTACAACTCGAGTTGAAATGAAAGGAAACTGAATTGACATTGATTGAATTACATTTTCTGAAACATGACCTAAACGCCTATGCCATAATAAAGAAGAGTCTATAGACTTGTCTATGACATGGACCAATTTATTTGCAGAAGTTGTAGCAGCAGCAACTTTATTTTGAGAATGAAAATCTTCAACTTGAGGAACTATCACATAGAGGCCGTTCTGGCATTCAGCAGTACCAATCGTCTCCTGGAATTGCATCTGCTTTATGAAACAAAAGGAATTATAGAATGTGAGACAACATTGCATGGATTGAGTTAATTTGGAAGCAGAAATAAGATTGACACAGAATTGAGGTACATACAAAACATTTAGCAATGTGAGAGATGGTAACAGCTTAACTGTACCAGAGGAATTGCAAGTTACGTGTGTACCATTAGGAAGAGTAATGGATATAGGTTCAATTTTATGCATTGAAGAAAAACAAGATGACATGTACATATGATCAGTAGCACCGGTGTCTATGATCCAATCGGTTTTAGGGATACCTGATGCAATTGTGTGTGCATTGGACACTTGTGCATTGTTCATAGCATGTGATGGATTCTCAACATCTGATGTGTGTCGTGGAATTTTGCAAAAGTGATAAGATGTGTTGATACTGGTTGGCTGAGAACGGATTTTGAGCTGAAAATGGACTTTGATTGACTGGTGGCTGTGTCTGCACAGAATCATTGGACTCAGGCTCATAAGCACTTTGCTGTAGCACATTATTAGCAGTATGTGCATTTCTTCCACGTTGGTAACCGGGAGAAAAACTGTCACGTTGGTATCCAGGAGGAAAACCGTGCAATTGGTAGCATGTTTCAATGGTGTGGTTATTCCTACCACAATGGGTGCAAATTCGGTTACCTCTTCCTCCCTGGTTGAACCTGCCTCGTCCTCTATTACCTCTTCCATTTTGATTATTGAACATCCTTCGATTTCCATTGTTAAAGGAGTTAGAGTTAGATCCATTACCAGAATTGTTATAAACTGCATATGCCTGTGAGTTAGCTACAGATGAGCTTCCAGCATCAAAATTGAATTGCCTCTATTGTTGCACAACCATCGAGAAAGCCTTATTCACATTAGGTAAGGGATCTATCAACATTACTTGTGATCGCACAGAAGTGTACTAATCGTTCAAGCCTTTCAAAAAGCGTATCATGTGGTCTCTATCACGATGTGCACGCATCTTATCAATTGCTCCACAGTTGCAAGGGGAAGGGCATTCACATGTGGGAAGCGGTTTGAGATTTTCTAACTCATCCCACAGAGTCTTCAAATGAGTGTAGAACTCTGTAACAGAATGATCTCCTTGCTGTAGTCTATAGATTTCCTCTTGAAGATCGGATATGCGAAATACATCACATTGAGCAAACCTTTGCTTCAAGTCAAGCCAGGCATCATGAGCACATTCGATCCATAAGATTGATTTGGCAATGGATTCAGAGATGGATCTGTGAATCCATGCCATCACCATTGTGTTGCAACGCTGCCATTGAGAGAAAGCTGGATCATCAGTAGGTGGAGCAACAATACTTCCATTCACAAATCTAAGCTTATTCTTGGATAGAAGAGATACGGTCATGCCACGAGCCCAAGTATGGTAATTACCTATGTAGCACCGATACGACACGCGACACGTGACACAACACGACACTCCGACACGTCAATCCTAAAAAATTATGGATTTCGACACGTTGGGACACATTTTAATATTAAATAATATTTTTAATTTATATAGTGTATATTTCATTTAATATTTAATAATTTAACAAAAAAATGAAACTAAATTAATAATACCCATCAACATGTTATAAAGATGGAAGCTTTAATAAAAAAAATAAGAACTGGGATGAGAGAGAGATATAATATCACATAGAGAGATCAAATCATATTAGAGAGAGATCAGAGAGAAGAAAATACAACAAGAGCGTGATAGGAATTGACAACAATGATGCTGAGATGATCTCTTATCTACTTAAGGGGAAAAAAGACAAAAGATAAAATTGATATAATCAGGTGGAAGCTTTATTAATATATTTTAACTTTAAAAATAAAATTAAAAATAAAATTTTAAAAAAAAAATTACGAAAATGCCATTTGACCGTGTCGGGCACGGTCAAATTCGCGTGTCGGAATGGTCAACGTGTCGGAAAAAGTCAACCGCATGTCCGACACCGTGTCAGAGCGTGTCGGACCCGACTCTTCCTGTTTTTACAAGTGTCTGTGCTTCCTTGGTAATTACTCCCAGTAAGTGGAGGATTAACCAAAATCAGAGAAGGACTCTTATTGGGATGCATATACAATGGATTCGAAGAATTAGTGTTGAAATCCATGGCTGGATCGTGAAACTCCATGGAAGAGAAAGTTCAAGAATCAAGATAGCAAAGCAAAAAAAAATCTGAAGCTGTATCTAAATAAAAAATCAGAATAAAAAAGACCAAAAAGAAAATAAAAATAGAAAAAGATCAAATATATCTAAATAAAAAATAAAAAATAAAAGAAAAAATAAAACCAAATATCATAAACTCGCATCAACAGTCCGATAACGCTGACGTGGATGATTCAACCTTCACAGCAACCAATCACGATAGAAACTGATAGGAACTGTAGTTTGTTTTCTGTTTCTAGAGTTTGTTATGTATAACCAGAGTTTGTTATGTATAACCACTTTTCCCGCTTCTTTCTTCACTTTGTATAGCGTTTCCATCTCATGTATATATATGAGACTGAACTTGTAAATGTTATTCATTCATAATGAGAATTTTCCTTTCCCTCAATATGGTATCAGAGCCTCGCCGTCCCCCACTTTCTCTTGTGGAGTTTCTTAGCACAGGTAGGCTGAGCCTGTTGCATTGTCCACCCTTCAAGCCCAAAGGGCTCTTGTGTGAGGGGGCGTGTTGAGATATATAATGTGGTCTTTATAAGGCTTTGGGCACTCCCACCCTTTGAGCTAGCTTTTGGGGTGGTGTATCCCAAAGTTCTTTACACCTTCCTCCAGCTGGTGGGACTTTATGCCTTTTGATGAAGTTTGTTTAAGGTTTTACAGCTGTCTATTACAATTCATACCTTTTCCCTCCATGCTTTTAGAAGGAACTTTTGTCTCTTAAGTTTTGTTTCAATACCCGGAGGCAGGCTAGACCCTGGTCCCGTGCAACTAATAATTGGCAATAAGCTTTTTGAATTGATTAAATTTTCTTGTTTTCCTGTTCAGTACATTGATTTCAAGATTGGAGAAGAGTCAGGATACATCCGGTTTGAAGAATCTGAAGCTGCTCAGAAAGCTCGTGCTGCTGCAGTTCTTTCAGAAAAGGGTGGTTTGGTTGTGAAGAATTATATTGCTACCCTAGATCCAGTGTCTGGTTAGTTCCCCTTCATTAAAAAAAAAACATTTATCTAATTTTTGTTTGGATTTCATTTGTAGTCTTAAAACATTGTTTCTCATCATCAGTTTCTAAAGATATAAGCTTTTCTCTAATTAAATGGGGAAAACTTGCTTTGGATGAGCAAAGCTACTTCTACAAAGTTATTTTAAATTTCCGTTATCAGTATTCAGTGATTACTCATTACATAAGCTGGAACAGTTTTTAAGAATCCTATTCTGGACATTTTTTTAGTATTTTTTGCACCTTTGGGAAGGGAGATAAAAGGTGGGGGCCTTTGGGCGAGGGGATTTAGAGAGCGTAGTTACTGAGATTAGTACTGAAGTGGTACCTGCTGACAGTGATAATTTGATTGGTTAAGCTGAGAGTTACTCTTGTTTGTCATGATCTCAGGTGAGGCCGAAAGAGAATACTGGAGCCTGCTTCGCGGTAATCATGATAAGCGCCGAGGATATAAGAGTAACGGAGGAAGGTAAGTAGCTTGATTCAAGGATGCCTTGAATTTTACTTGACTAATACTTTTTTTCCTTTCTCTTTTCGGATTTCCCTTGTTTTGTTAGCCGCGGGGATAGGGTTGGAGCTAAGAATATCAATTATATAATCTCTTTGCAGGGGAGGAAGGCATGGTAGAGGAAGGAAACATGCACGCGCTAGACAGAACGAATCTGCCGTAGATCGCCCAAATAAAGCTCAGAAGGTTGGTGCTTCATAATGGATTATATACTAGAGCAGTTTCGAGAACTTTTAAGATCCCGAAGATTTTGGTTGAACAAGCTTACTGCTTGGTCGCCTGATGTATTCTCAGCTACTCAAGTTTTGATTTCATGGTTCGTTGTAACATATTACAATCTCATTCCGTTCCCTTGCAACTTCTCTTTATTATATACTGCATTGCATTTGTTGCTTTCTCTCTCTTTTTTTACCTTATAAGCGTAAGAAGGTAAGTTAAAAAGTTGATAATTTTTTATGAGATAGAATATTATTATTACCGATTAATGTTATTATCAATGTCACTACTAGTTTGTTTTACTGTTAGATCGATTATGTTAATTTAATGGTTATATTTATTTTCACTTTTGTATGGTTATGGTTTATTATATTTAATGTGAAAGCATTAAATATGAGAAATTATAATTATATAAAGATAAAAATAAATATAAAGTATTAAATATAAGGAGAAGAAAGATTTTTAGAAAATTAAATCAGAATATTTGGTTGAACATAATAGATTTAATTTTGAAATAAACTAGTGAATTACCCGTGTGATGCTCGGGGGAAAAAGAACAAAATATTTATTGTCCGCCGTGGTTGGTTAATTGCACTGCAAACCTTATACTTACAAATTTCAGGTAGAAAAAATTACAGCATTGACACAGAATTTTGTAAATATCAATCATAAACAAAAATCTGCTATCCAAAGTGATCAATATTATGCAAATCAAATACAGTTATCTACTCGATGAGTTATGTAAAAAATAAATACGCCACAGTAGACTCTGTTAAAATGAGGATGAGTAAAAAAAGAAAAATGCATACAACTTATTGCTAACTATAACAGCACTAATAAAATCAAGGTAACAAACAGACAAAGCAAATATGGGATTAAAAGATCAGTTTGTACCTATAATAAGAAAACACTATTAATTCAGTGTCATTTTGCAAGGATTTGCGCCGTTTGTATTTGAAATTATACAAATTTGTATTTACAAAAATTAAAATCACATTTAAGAATTTAATTATAAAAGAAGAAGGATGCAATTTTAATTTAATTATGAAAATGTTTGGTAGGTCGGTCTTCCGGGCCGAACCCAGTTTGCCACCTATAACTATTAGCATGTAATAGGTTTTTATATTTATTCACAAAAAGGCTCTTATTCACAAAAAATAATAAATAGTTATTTTTTTGTAAGAATTTGTCGTTAATATTTAGAATTTTATAAATTTGTATTTACAAAAATTGAAATATGAATTAAGAATTTAATTATAAAAGAAGAATAGTGGAATTTTAATTTAATTATAAAAATGTGTTGGCAGGCAGGGCGGGCAGGCACTCTGGGCCAAATCCAGTTTGCAACCTTTAACCATCAGCATTTTATGTAAATAATTATTTTTTGCAAGGATTTGCGTCGTTTGTATTTGAAACTTTACAAATTTGTATTTACAAAAATTAAAATCAGATTTAATAATTTAATTATAAAAGAAAAAGAATGAAATTTTAATTTAATTATAAAAATGTTTGGTAGGCCGGCCCTCCGGCCGAACCCAGTTTGCTACATATAACTATTAGCATGTAATAAGTTTTTATATTTATTCACAAAAAGGCTCTTATTCACAATAAATAATAAATGGTCATTTTTTGTAAGGATTTGTGTCATTAATATTTGAAATTTTATAAATTTGTATTTACATCCTCATTGAAATATGAATTATGATTTTTTTTTTTTGGTAACCTTATTAGGAATTTAATTATAAAAGAAGAATAGTGAAATTTTAATTTAATTATAAAAATGTGTTGGCAGGCGGGGCGGGCAGGCCCTCTGGGCCAAGTCCAGTTTGCAACCTTTAACTATCAGCATTTTATGTAAATAATTATTTTTTGCAAGGATTTGCGTCGTTTGTATTTGAAATTTTACAAATTTGTATTTACAAAAATTAAAATTAGATTTAAGTTGTCTCCCATTAAAAGATGTTAAATTCTTTTTCCACCAATATCAATTTCAAATTTCGAAATTTAAAAAAGGAGTGGGATATTAATGCATCTGTCTGCCACTAACTATTGTTGAACTCTTTTCTTTGGGTCTTTTGATTTTTCGATAAATATGAAAAAAAATACATTCAATGTTTTTTAAAATGAGGGTTAACAATTCCCATGTAGAAAATAGTGGGAATTTAATACAGTTGTCTCCCATTAAAAGATGTTAAATTCTTTTCTCACCTATATCAACTTCAAATTTCGAATTTTAAAAAAGAAATGGGATATTAATGCACCTGCCTGCCACTATTTAATGCTGAACTCTTTTTGCATTAACTATTTAGTTTAAATATTTTAAAAAAGAATTAAATATCTATTTTAGAATTTTGAATTAAATAAATTATTTTTCATTCTTCTGTTTTAAAATTCTATATCGTATGATTGTTTTTCATTATCTGTTTTAAAATTCTATATCTCGTATAATTATTTCTCATTTTCCATCTTATCATTATGAGCATTGGCAACTCCTATATTTATTAGGATTCCATTCATATATGCATAAACAATTTTCCATTTTTATTCATTGAATTGGCAACTCATTATTAAATGTAAAAGTGCAAACTTAAAAGTGCTTTCTAAAGAATTACAGAAATATCACAATCCCTATATAGTGTAAATGTCATATTCTCATCCAAACCTTAGGCATAAATCCATGTAGAAAGTAATGGTATAATAAATGAGCTGCCACCAATAATTATCCAAATGTTTTCCCACCACTACAAAGTTTAAAATTCAAAATTCAAATTCAAAATTGAAATTTAAATGAAATTCAAAATTTAAAATAAATATTTTCAGAAAATAATGAGTTATTATTAATTTGAAAATTTCAATGTAAAAAGCAGTGGGACATCGAATGAGTTGTCTGCCACCAACAAATGGTTCACTTAAATTTTAATTTATTTTAATTCGATTTTTAGAGTAAATTATATATTTATTTATTTTTATTTTTTTGTAAATAATTATATATTTATTTAATTTAAACTGTTTAGCCTTTATTTTGCAATTTAAGATCCCATTGAATGTGTTGAGCAATTACAGTGTGTCATTTCAGTTCAAGAATCAGAAAAACCATTTATAGTGGCGACGACAATTACGTTTTAGGTGGCAATGATAATAAATGACATTTATAACTATTAAAATTGTTTGATTTATGTCTTTACATATTCATTAGATCTGTACATTAAATTTTCATATATGTTATCTTTACCTACTTAAATGCCATTTAAAATGACGTTTCACTTACCCGTAACTATTAGCATGTAGGTCAACAGATTGGACTTTAGCGTAATGTAAAAGTCCTTTTTTAAAATGACGTTTCGTGCAGTTTTTATAACTTCGAACAGATTGTAATTATACCCGATTAGCCCCTTTTTTTTGGGTCTTTTGATTTTTCGAAAAATATAGAAAAAAACTTTAAATATTTTTTAAAATGAGGGTTAACAATTTGCATGTAAAAAATAGAAGAAATTTAATACAGTTGTCTCCCACTAAAAGATGTTAAATTCTTTTCCCACCTATATCAACTTCAAATCTCGAAATTTCAAAAAAAAAAAGAGAATATTAATGAACCTGTCTGCCACTAATTAATGTTGAACTCTTTTCTTTGGGTCTTTTGGTTTTTCGATAAATATAAAAAAAGCATTAAATGATTTTTAAAATGAGGGTTAACAATTCCCATGTAGAAAATAATAAAAATTTAATAGTTGTCTCTCACTAAAAGATGTTAAATTCTTTTCCCACCTATATCAATTTCAAATTTTGAAATTTCAAAAAAAAAGTGGGATATTAATGCATATGTCTGCCACTAATTAATGTTGAACTCTTTTCTTGCGATCTTTTGGTTTTTTTATAAATATGCAAAAAAGCATTAAATATTTTTTAAAATGAGAGTTAACAATTCTATTAGAAAATAATAGAAATTTAATACAGCTATCTCTCACTAAAAGACGTTAAACTCTTTCCCCACCTATACAATTTTGAATTTTGAATTCTAAAAAAGAAGTGGGATATTAATGCACCTGTCTACCACTAATTAATGCTGATTTTCGCACTAACTATTTAGAATTATAAAAACATTATTAATGTTTTTGTTATTAATACTAAAAATGTATTAAATTGAAAAAAGAATACAAACCAAAAGAGAACTAACAGTACTTCTCTGCCTGAATCGCAAAATGACATGCATACTTTAAGACTCTTCCTGAATCGCAATAACAACGCCAAGAATATTATAAGTCAATTTTTTTTTTTGGTAGGCTATTATAAGTCAAATTAAACTTTTTATTAACGTAGACATTTACTTAGTTTTTATTATACGTCAAATGAAAGCTAGATAAAATCATCGGACATTATAAAGCCAAGAATGATTGCGAAATATGATTTATCATTTACATAGACATTTATTAACGTAGACATTTAATTTCAATAATTTATTCACATTTAATTTCGCTAGAGAAATAAAAAGAAAATAAGAAGGATATACAAAGGATACATAATAAAAGTCATACATAAAATAAAAAATAAAAAAATAAATAAGAAAGGGAAAGAATATATAATAATATATCTTTTTCGTTATTATGGAGCCACAATTGTGTGATGCATATTCAAATAGAAGAAAAAGAAAAAGAAAAAATGGGAAGCTTCAAAATTGAAAAATCAAAAGAGGATAACCCATATCTTCTTCAGTCTTTCACAGCTTACAACAACAAGTTTAGCTCTTCTCTGAAGATCTGCAAACTCCACATGCGCTTTTAAATAGTATAATAGTTGAAAGTGAACCCATCGTAAGGACGACAATTGTTCACTTGTTTCCTTGCATTGAACATTGAGGACATATGCTTCCAAGCTCGTTTACTGAACAAATGATCATCAAATCTACTTCCATGACCAACCTGCTCTAACAAAAGATAAACAAAATACCGATCCATCTCAGGTTCAAGATTGATTGCAAGAGATGAATTGGAAGAATCGAAAGAAAAATGAGAGAGAAGTGGGAAAATAAAAAAACCATAACAGATGTAGATATGTAGATCAGATCTAAGAAAAATATCCTATGATTTTACCTTTTAACTGTTTTCACTTTAAAGCCATAACAGATGCAGATCTATCCACGAAAATCTTTGAACGCAAAGCTTCGAACATTATTCAATAAAAAAAAGTTTAGATTCACAAATCCAAACGGAACAATGAGATGTGGTGGCAGTATTATGAATCCTTCCATCCTGAAAAATGAATAAATCAGTTAGTATAAAATTTATGAAAATGAATTCATAAGGTTTCTTCATAAAGAAACAGAAAATTATACCAATAGAACAATCCCTACACACATGAACAAAAAAAAAATGCAAGCAAGACAAAAAAAAGAAGCAACACTTCCCTATTTATAGGCAAAGTCGTAATTTATTTATTTAAAAAAAATTTAGCTTGTAGAATACACTTCACCGTTACCAATGCAGAAAATAGTGAAGGGAACTTAATTGTTAGGTGACTGATTTCAATTTCAATTAATACACTTCCCACCCATTTCAAATTTCAATTTGGAATTTTGAATTGAGAACATCATTAATACAGCTGTTTGCCACCAAGTATTTTATAATGATTTAAAAAAAACTCTCCCTCCTTTGTAGAATTTTTTTATTTACGAAATAAAAAATATTTCTAAAAGAAGTAACTTTTCAAACTATCTCCAGTGTGAACACAAAGCTGAGAATTAAGGAGGAAGTGACACGTCAGCAAAGTTTCTAAAGTTTGGTTCTGCTTTGTATATATTAAGATGAGTACACATGCATTCTAATTTTGACCAATGAACACACATGTATTCAGATTTCATTGAGATAGGCTAGGGATTAATTAATAGTTTTGGGCTAACTTGACCTTCCTCCCAAAATATTTGGGCCGACACCTAGAGAGGTGGATAGGGTCCAATTTAATTTCCTAATGAGTGTTGCTTCATGTAGGCTTCTAATTATTATTTCATGTCATTACTAAATAATAGTCCAAATTCTTATATGCTATGATTAAATTAATTCTATCCTTTTCAGGAGGGTTTCACACTCTTAATATATATATATATATATATATATATATATATATATATATATATATATATATACCCATAATTTTAGTTAAAATCATTTTCTTAATGTAATGTAAGTCCACCCTACAATATGTAGACAATTCAAATTATAGCCATGCTCCCATGTTCCTGACTGAAATTTATCCAAATTCCTACATTCGCGGGATGTTACATCAACTCATTCATCACCACAGTCATAGCATTCCATGCATCTTCATTAGTCTTCATCAAGTTCTCATTAGCTTGATGACTAGCAGTTAACTCCCTTTGCACAGCTGCCAGAGTATCCGCCACAGGATCAGACTGTCCACCTATTGCCCCACGACCACTTTGGGGCCTAACTAAAGCAGCCAAAATAGATCTGGCTGAGCATTGACATTCGATGCCTCAGAGTTGTTCTGGTTCCTCGTCATGACACTACACATGTTACACAAAGAAATGAGTTGATCAGGCTCACACTCAGTGGTCACAGATGCAATAATCATAAAGAGTACCAAGACAACTATAAAGCATTAAACACCAAGCAGACATAACAATAATCCACAAGTTTCCCTGAGAAACTGCTCTCATACCATAAAATGTAACACCTCATTGTACACCCGGAACTGTTAACATTGCTTTATGATATTAAGCGCGGTTACAATCACATTGGTTCAATTAAAAGCTCGGATAAATTTTTCTTTTGTAAATATGTTTATCCTTCATTTGGAAAATCGAATTTATAATAACCAATTTCGTGACTATAACTGAATGAAGTTGCGGAATAAATAAAACTAGGCTTAACATCATATTCTTATTTTATTAATCCATAATTTTCTATTACAGCGTGCCAAATAGTCCTTTTGGACCAACAAGACTTAATACTCATTTTATTCAATTCATTACTCAATATCTTCATTTATTTTATTACTATAGAAATTATGTACTTATTTTATAGTTCTCATCTCCTACTATGTTATAGATCTCTTCGTTATCTTCACATGGGTTCAAACCGCGCTCAATTTGGAGCACCGTAGCTCAAGTTATTCAATTTTTACTAAACCGTGTTTGTGCTGCTTTCGGATAGCGCATTTTAACGCTCTCCAGAGCGTTACGAGGCACTTATAGAACCCATTTTTCATTTTGGTAGTGCGTTACAACTACTAGAAAATCAACACTTCAAGCATGTATTTTTCCAAGATTTTGAACATAACTTGAATAACAATCTATACTCATTTCTACCCTTTTTTTTATCATCACTAACAATATTTGTAAAGGAAATAAGCTTCAATCAAACTCAAACAACCCAATCTTAAATCACATTTTCATAAATGGAACCCTAAATATGAATATCCTCAAAACACCAACAAAGGTGAAAATGCTTACCACAATACCGCCACAAGGGTTCAAGGAAGGATAACCAAGCAACAAGGAGGCAATGCTTCACCTCTAGATCCACCAACATCAAGATTTTCGCCCTTCCCACCAAGAATATCTCACTCCACAATGGATCCCACTCAAAACTAAGTTAGGGTTAAGAAAGAGGAGAAGATTTGAAGTGACTTTGGCTTTAGAACGAGTTGATTTGGATGAGAAATAGGAAAGTTAAGATTTTGAGTTTCTTCAAAATTGGTTTCCTCCTCTCCCTCCCTTGCTCCACGAAGAAGATGAAGAAATGAGTGGTTTGCTTTGTGTTTTCACACTTAACTTAAGTTAGTTATTTCAACTGAGTATAAGCTCATATATCTATTTAACTCCATTCTCTTTCAAACTTTACTCAAAGGTCTGGAATATTTTTCTAGGAATATTTCTACTTTTACTTTTATATTTTGGGTACTTTTGTCTACACCCATTTTTACCCCATAATTTTCACTGACTGCACTTTTTACCTCAAAGTGACCCCAATTTATTTAATTTGATATTTTACCTAATTCAACCTACTAATATAAAACTAATTGCCTAATTACATGCAATTAATTAAATCTCATGGTGAGGGATATTATACACTTGGAGTGAGAGTACGAGCTTCTCCGATGATATCCCGAATTTAGGGACATGTATGTCTCTAATTTTGCGGACAAAATTATTAAAAGGTGGGAGGGATGACTGTAAGAACCCGCATCGCTAAATAATTAAAAATAAATAACATTATCGATGTCGGAGCATGCAGTTAAAAAAGATTATGCATAATTATGGTAAAATTATTATCTAGAAGGTTGAATAATGCTTAAGTATCTTTTCTGATGAAAAGTGCAGATACCGATTTTCCTTCGCGATATAAATGCGTACCGGTGAAGTATTCCGAAAAATTATAATAAAAATATAAATATTCCTAGAAAAATATCTAGGTCAAGAATATCAAAGTTGAGATGAAAATAGTAAGCAGTGAAGTCAGAACTAATATCTGCTATTTCGCATTAGAAAGTGCGTACCCATAAAATGTCTCAAAAAAGTAATGTAAAAATATTATAATTCTTAGAAAAATGTCTAGGTTAAGAATATGAAGTTTGATAGAAAAATAATAAATGGAAGTAATATAACTAATACCGGGTGTTTTAAGTGTATTAATGCTCAATTGGGTTAGTGGGACTCATCTCTTGAGGAAAACATCAAACACCCACAAACCATCATTCCTTCAACCCTCATCTTATAAACATCACGAAGTTCAAATTGTGGGGAGAAAAATAGCACCTTGGTTGCTGCCTTAGGGGATTTGAAAGGTTCCATCTCATTTTGGGAGGAGTTGGGGTATCACCACACCTTGTTTTGAAGCCTATGTGAAAGAAAGAACCAGCCTTGATGACCCAAATTCGTGCACATCACTTGGATGTGGTAGAGAGTGGAGTTTAAGCATTTAAAGTCCTCTTCTTTCTCTGTTTTGGTGGGCCTAAGGTATACATCAAACATTCATCTTGTGTTTCATGTGAATAGAATGATCTTTACTTTGTTCTTCATGATAGAAAGTATGATTTAGGTTAAAGGTTGAGTCTTGAAGTTGTTTTTGTGTTTTGAACGAGTTGTTATGTTAATTAAATGACTAAAAAAGTTTGGGAGATCATTAAAAGTCATTATACCTTAAAAACTCATTTTTCTGCATTATGTCGAAGAAGTATTCGAATATTTTTTGGGCAGTATTCGAATACTTTCTGGAAAAATGTAGTAATCGAATACTTCGCGAGACAGAAACATCCTAGTTGAGTAAAATCGCAATATCTCGAGCTATAGAGCTCCAAATTGAGTGACATTTAGACCTACATGAAGCTAACACATAGGGCTACAACCCTGTAAATTTTCAGATTCATTGGATGAGTGGATGGATCGCAGTTTATGTTTGAAGTCGCGACCCTATTGTTGGAAATTCAGTTTGTGGTAGAAAATTTGCGAAAAATATAACCGGAGTTATACAACTCCAAATTCAGTTTGTTGCAATTAATGTTTTAAAAAGAGTTAAACGCAGTTTGGTGCTTGGGTGCTTTGGGAGAAGCCTGCAGCCACTAAACGAAAAAGAAAACATAGTCCATTTGACTTGAAATTTTAGGATATTTAAATTAATAATATTTTTGGCATAAAACAGACTATGATTTTGCTGTTTTGTGATCTGTGAGCTGTTGTTTGTATCTTGAGCTTGATTATACTACTTGACAAGTAAGTTTCGTGTTCCCAGGGTTAATCCCCATTTGTTCCACTATACTCTAAGAGGCAGATGGTAGTTTTATATGGTATATATGCTTATCTGTTATTTGAGATGATGAAATGATGCACTCTTATATATGTATGTTATGTGGTGTATTACACACAAGATGGCTAATACATGAGTGTAGTGTGGAGCTGCACAAGACTGTATTCCCTGAGTGTCGATATGAGGCAAGAGCCTTATACTTCTTTTGTATGTAGCAGACATGTGTAAATCATATTGTTCTCTGGCCAGTAGACTTGTTAGCACACATGCATGATATATATGTTGTTGCATCATGTGATTATGCTATTGTTGTTGAACTGTTATATTTGAGCTGTTATACCGAGTGAGCTTGGGGCGGAGGGACTCTTCGAGAACCCTTGCTTACCGAGATTTTTGTTTAGAGATCTCACATCGTGTGGGGTACATTTTCAGGTGTAGGCATCCATGAGATGGATGCTTCCCGAGGTAAGAGACCGGAGCAGAGTTGATTTATATACATGCTTTATTTATATCATTTGGACATGATTAGTGTACTTGAGATATGACTATTATGCTTATGTTGTATTTGTTTGTGAGCATGGGTTGTCCATGCCTCATTTGATATTTGTATTTTGTTGGACATGTATGTTTTGTATATGCTATGAGATATGGACGTTGGTCATTACTATGCGATGTAGCTTAATGAATTAGTATTTCTTTATGATATTGAGGCACTTTAGGAATTTATGTGTGGTTTTGCAATTACACAAGGATATAGATGGATTTTACATTACTATGTTAATAAAGAAAAAGTGATCTTGCATGTTGCAAGCTTAATATATTTTAGCTTCCGCATTTAATTAAGTTGCGCTTAATATTTTAATATGATAACAATCTGGTATACACGGGATGTTACAACAACCATAAGCCTTTGTAAAATCACAACCTATTTCAAAGATATAAGGCAATTAGCAAATATACTAATTTGAAACATTCATTTTAATTTTATCTTTTGCCATTTATAACATTGAGGTTTTTTCCAAGACCACAAGCATTGGTTACTTAATTTATGACTTAGAGATATTTTACAAAGGTCTACACTGATCTCCTTAGCGATATGAACCCCACCAAGAATGTGAGACCCAATACCAATTTAGTTAGGATTATTTCTACAATCAGAAATTTAAAACAAGAAATACAAAAAACCTTGACCCGTTATCTATGGAAGATAAGAACCAAAGGTATAAGAAGGATAAAGATGTCACACTCAAGAAAAAAGAAAGTGAGTGATAAGTCTAGTTTGGACGCCACAAGAACAAGCTTTTTGATAAGTTCAGAGTTCCAGATAAGAACAAAAGAGAAGAAATCTCTCAATTATATTATAACTTCAAAATCTGATTACAAGAGTTATTTTCTCCCTTATTTATACTTGGAACATCCCTCCAAGAATAGGAAAAGAATAGCAAATAAAAAGACACTAATTTAAAGTTGACAACTTGAAAAAAGGAAAAGACTCTAATCAACCCACTAAACATTAATGACTTTGGAAATGTGAATCAACCCCACTAAGAAAATGCTATCAGCCCCACTAAGCATTAATTGACATTGAAAATTTCTACTCATTCCACTCAACCTCCCTTACATTGATGGCATTAACTAAATTCTGATCATGAATAAATTTGGACTTGATGTCTTCATGATTAGCCCACATTTGCTGGATCAACCCACTAAGGGCTTCTTTAAACTTCTTGGCCCTTGATCTTGTTATTGGCCCATTTGGCAATTGCAATGGATCACTAGGTGTTGTCTCCTTATTCATATCATTACCTCCCTCTTCAAAAGGATTTGTCCTTAAATCTGCACCTACATCAAAAGGAGATAAATCAGAAACATTAAAGGTTGCACTAACATTGTACTCACCTGGAAGGTGAAGCTTGTAGGCGTTATCATTTATCCTCTCAATCACTTGAAATGGTCCATCACCCCTTGGAAGCAGTTTGGATCGTCTTTGGGCTGGAAATATTTCCTTTCTCATATGTAACCAAACCCAATCTCCTGGTTCAAAAAATACTTTCTTAATAACCTCAGTTAATGGTGCTGCTAGGCTACTAAAGTTCTTCACAAACCGTCTACGAAAACTAGTCAGCCCATGAAAACTTCGAACTTCACTCACACAAGTAGGGCTAGGCCAATCTTGAATTTCCTTTACCTTTTTTTCATTCACCTCTATCCCTTTAGAACTAACAGCAAAACCACGGAACACAAGCGTGTTAGTACAAAAAGAACATTTTTTTATATTAGCAAACAACTTCTCTTTCCTCAAAATATTCAAAACAAGTTTTAAATGCTCAACATGCTCATTCAAGATTTTTCTATAAATCAGAATGTCATCAAAATATACAACCACAAATTTTCCAAGGAATGCACGCAAAACATGATTCATCAACCTCATAAAGGTGCTGGGTGCATTAGTTAAACCTGTAATAGCCCGTTGTACACCGGTATTGTTAACATTAATTATGATATTAAGCGCAGTTACAATCACAGCAATTCATTTATAAAAATGCGAGTAAACTTTTTCCGTTTTATTACGCGAGTATTTAAAACAATAATAAAGCGTAATAAATAAAAGTTGTGACCGTAACTATAAACTCTTTGGGGAATAATTATTTATACTACTCTTATATCATACATTACTTCTCTCAAGTGACTAAGGGGTTCCCATAAACCCACTTAGCTAAAATCTCACTTTTACGTTTTCTACCTATCCGAACATGGTTTGGTCTTTGAATTTTTGCGGAAAAACCGCATTCTACAAGCCTCTCATCTTTTATTATATTACTCTAGACTTAATTACCTTTCTAGGAAGCTATCACACGAGTCATAAAGTTCTTGTTTGCTCCGAATATCGCCGTTTGAAGTTGGACAAGTTAATCTGCCAGCCACCCTCAAACTGGCTCCAAACAGTCTTCACTAAATATATTATTCTGGACAATCCACTAAACCAATTTCTCTCAAAGTTTTATACAGTAGACTAGACACCTCAAGCTTCGATTTGACATATCATACACCTAATTTGACCAAGAAACAAAGCAGGAATAAATTTCCCAAACTCGCTCCAGATCAGCCACAAGTGCAGTGGCCAATTGAGCAGTCTGTGCTCTCTACCTTCTACAGGTCGACGTCCAACCCAGAATTTTCTCAAACTTTGACACAAGATAGAGGACATCTCAAGATTTAAAACAGCGTATGGAAAGTCCCTATCAGACTTTTGCGGAGGGAGATATGCTCTCCCAAAGTTTACCTAAATTCTGCCAATTTCTAGAAAATTCGCTAGTGTTTCCTTTATTTTTCCAATAAATCCTAAATTTGCAAATGTGTTCTCTAACCTCAAATTGTACCTAATAATCATGGGTGGCACACAAGGACCAGCAATGCTTTGGTGCTCTTACAACCCTTCACAGTTTATATCCAATTTGCTCAAAATACATAACCAATGCTTACTTTTCCAAGTTAACTAATTTCAATCACAAAGGTCCAATTGCATGCATTCTTTAAATCATAAATCATCATTCACATCCTAGAATAGGCCTATTTCATCATATTACATACTTCATTGTTACATCAATTCTCCATATTACAATTTACAACTTCTCAAATAGACAAATTACAATTCTCCTTCAAGTATACAAAATAAATGCTCCAAAATAAAACATGATAATCAAAGACTAAACTTAGACAAAATACATCATGAACAAAAAGATAACAATAATCCTAATCATATGCATTGTTCATGACCTAAGTCTAGCCTAGGCCCAGTGGCCAACAAAATGCGAAATAGGTAAAAGTCCTCCTGCTCAACCTACGGGAATTTTGCTCGTCGCCCCAACACCACTGCTACCTCCTGAAATAAAGTCCCCAAAGAGGGGTGAGATATACGAATATATCTCAGTAACCCAGAGGTTCTGGCGAATACTTCGCCCAATGGCTCACTTTGATGCATATAAATAACATAACATAATATCTGAAAACGGGATAAAGCAAGGGATTTAGAGAAGTAGGGAAGCATAAGGATACAAAATACAACGAAACTATGGTCAATGCCAAAACCACGCAACATCCATCCTATTGGCCTCATAAGCCTACGGGTTTCAAACCAAGGCGTGTTCCCAGAACATCAACCAATGCACCCTCCATCTATAACCACCCGAGACTTCCTAGTGTGCTCCTCTACGGATCACACACCATGACCCCAGGTCAACTGGAACTCCCTCACGGAGACCTATCCAGTGGAAGTCCGTAACGCCCGAAGGCAAACAGTCTACTGGCCAGAGACACGGTACATCCTATGTACCACAACACATACAATATGCATGATCATGTTATCCTATATTATTTACATACATTTTCTACCATTACCCTCAACGGGCATGGTGGAACACACACGGAGATCAAACCCCCAGTACCAAGGGATTACCTTATTAATCTTCTTCACGTAGCTCCAATGCAATACTTCCTCGAGCTAGGTACAAACAGAAATGCCTACACATAAGACATTCCCAATTTAATTTCCATTCACTTGTTACATGCCAATTATCAAGCATAAATGCATGGTTCAAAATACTTACCACAATCCTTTTTGGTCCGGGACCAAGGGCAACCCACCGAGCTCACGGTTCAGGGTTCAAATCCGCAGGAGGTAACCTACAATGACCATATACGGATCATCAAAACACGGTAAACCCACCAAAGTCGCAAAACGTCAATTTTCCTCCCCTACCAAGTGAGGTTCGGCCATTATAGTGTTAACACACAATTATTTTTCTTTATTTTCTTTTCATTTTTCTTTATCATCCTAGGGCTACCACAATGTCATTTTAGGTGCCACTTTTCATTTTACACCATCCTAACATCATTTTACCATTTATTCCACTCTAGGTTCAATTTCAAATTCCACACAATCCAAATATTTTTCCATTTATTTTCCATGCATACATTCACCATCAACACCTCAAAATACCATTCAACACTACACAATATCAATTACACAATTTTTGCATCATCACTCCCTACATACCCCTAAATGGCCGAATTGTACATAGGCCTACACCAAGGATTATTCATTTCAATCCAACCACTCCACACATCATACAATCCTATTATTAACTCATACAACCATACAACAACTCAATTACACAATCACATCACCTTTCAAATTTCACAAGTTCATGGCATCACACTCAAAATCTACTAAGTTATCATCAATTTTTCCCAATAATTTTATTGCATTTATCACTCTAAAACATTATTCTAAGTCACTTTCATCTCATATACAATCTCATTTTGAGCTCTCTAACTCCATAAATCAAGCATGCAAGCCCTAGGTTTTCATGAAATTAAATTCATCAAATCAATCCATGAAAGGTGTTGAAACTTACCCACAATCAAGTCACAAGACTCCTCCAATTGATCCCCAAGCAATGACTTGAGCAAACAACTCCAAAATCACAAAAATCCTCTCAAATCTTGTGGCTGATTTTGCCCTATTCCTCCCAATCTAGTGAGTTTCAAGGCTAATTGATGGTATGGTTGAGTCCAGATCCTCGTTTACTTGAAGTTTGATGACAAACTTCGCTGAAATCGGTGGCTAGATTGCCAAGATTCAAACCAAGTTCTTCCCCCCTCTTTCATGGTGAAACCTGCGGCCCTTGGAGAGAGAAAGAGAAAAGAGAGTGATGATGAATAGTCATACACATGTGGGCTTAAGTGGTTTAAGTGAGGTGGGCCCCACCGCCACCTCACGCGATTTCAAAATAATTCAAAACTCCCTCCGATTTCACTAAACGTCCATAATTTCATAACCTATTTTGAAACTCTAATTTTCAACATTAACCATTGTCCTTTAATTAACCTTGATCAGATGAATCCGGAGTTTTCTGGTCGTTCGGAGAAATTGCAGTTTTAAGCTGTTACACGCGCCGTAGGCATTCTTCTCCAAACTCACTAATTTCCGTAAAATGTCACCAGAAATCATATTTCCTAGTCCTATACACCATTTATAACTTATATCCTAACCTAGAGCTCAAAACTCAATCGGCACATTTTACGGTGCAACTGTATCGCAGTATTTTTACCGGTAAAAACACTATTCACAGAATTTTCTGAAACTTGCCTAATCTCTCATTTTTTTTGTTCTGAATCCATTTCCAGGGTTATTTTTATCATTTGAGACCTCCTACTTAATTCACCTTCCTAGGGTTACGTGTTTGGCTAATTACCGTTTTACCCTTCCTTTGTATTTTAACCTAATTTTCAGGATTTTCACTAATCCTCCCCTTTAATCCATGTTTAATATATTAATATATAATTTAGAAATGTGAGGTGTTATATTCACCCCTCCTTTTTGAAGTTTTGTCCGCAAAATTAATTCATACATGTCTGCTAACTTAGGATACAGTGAGAGAATCTCATACTCCCGTTCCCAAGTAGCCTCCTCAGGTTTACGTCCTTCCCATTGAATTTTTAGCATTGGAATATTCTTACTTCTCAGCCTCTTCTCACTGCGGTCGAGGAGATCAATAGGACCAACATGAGTCTTCAAATTCTCCCGAATCTCAATATCATCTGGTATCACCACATGTGATTCATCCGGAACATAACGCCTCAGCTGCGATACATGGAAAACATCATGCATATTCGAAAACTATGGGAGCAAGGAAAGCTGATAGGCCACTAATCCCACTCTTTTCATTATATGATACGGCCCAATAAACTGAGGACTCAGCTTCCTCACACCCAATGCACGGCCAACACCCATAACCAGAGATAACCGCACAAATACATGATCACCTTCTTCAAATTCCAGCGGTCTGTGTCTATTATCATAGTAACGTTTCTGCTGATTCTGTGCCTGTTTAAGTTTTTCTCTGATCATTTTAATCTGTGTTGTAGTTTCTTGCACAAAATTCGGCCCAAATCTCTCTTTATCACCTACCTCAGTCCAATAAGTAGGAGTACGACATCTCTGTCCATACAATGCCTCATACGGTGCCATGCCCAGACTGGAACGAAAACTGTTATTATAAGAAAATTCCACCAATGACAAGTATCTATCCCAAGCATTACCTTGCTCGAGTGTGCAAGCTCTCAGCATATCCTCAAGTGTCTGTATGGTCCTCTCAGTCTGACCATCAGTCTGCAGGTGATACGCAGTGCTCAGCCTGATCTGAGTGCCAAAAGCCTGCTGCAAGGCTCCCCAAAAGCGAGAAGTAAATTTCGGGTCCCGATCCCTGACAATGCTAACCGGTATCCCGCGGAGCCTTACAATCTCCTTTACATATAATTTTCCTAATTTCTCCGTAGAGAAATTCACTCGCACTGGCAGAAAATGTGCAGACTTCGTAAGCCCGTCCACTATGACCCAAATTGAATCGTAACCAGCCT